TTCCATCCCTCCATGCACTCCTGCCCCCTGAGCTGTCTCCCTGTGCATAAACAGCCCTTTCTCCCATGATTGTTCTCTCCAAGAAGTGTATCTACCCCAGATAAATGTTCAACTCATATGCCTATTTTCAGTGGTCTTGAAGACTGGGAGTGTTTGTACTTTTGCATGTCACCTCCTGCTGTTCTTCCAAGGATGCTCTCACCCACGCTGGGGACCTTGGAAGGGGCAAGACTAATAAGATTCCTTGCTCCTTTCTTGGGTATTGTACCTGCATGTTTCTCGCTATAGAGGTGAGGGTCAGTGGGGATGGGACCCTCAGTTACACATCAAGTGGCAGCTCCTAATTTTTCACTAAATGCAACAGCAGGGAGGTAGTACGTGCATCAGCTTAACAGCACGGAGGCAAATCCTGCGGTAACTCAGATGTGTTGACATTTGCCATTGTACCTCGAGCCTAAATGGGAACTAGACAGGTGGTGGAGCGTGTTCACAGAAGCATGGTCTGGGTAGGGAAGAGAGGCCAAACCTATTCCCACGAGCAACCACTAATGAAGTCAGTTCCTTATCCATTTTTAGGCTCATCCATTCCAGAGACCAAGTTTCTCCAGAGACTATCTCTAGCCTGCTATTGTTCTCAGCATATTAGGTAACAGGGGTACAAGTGGAAAAAATAAAAAGTGCCCAGATCCCCATGGGGCTGCTCAGTGTTTTAACAATTATTCGTGGTATATTTCATTAGCTGCTTAACCACAGTTAACACCCCACCCCGTATCCCCTTCCAAGGGAGCCTCTGCACTGCTACCTGAGCCACTCTTCTTCAACATAGAGTGTTTCCTGTGGTGGCTCCTATAACCCAGAGGAAAAAATGAAACTCAAAGAGGGGTTTACTCTCACTCTCATTGTCCATATCCTCATACTTTTATCCCCAAATTCAACTCACACCAGACATTCTCTTTCTATTTCATGTAAGTCACGCTTGCCTTCCTTTGCATATGCCCGCCCTTGTTACAACACCCTTTCTTACCCATCAAAATCCTCCAGTACAACCTTCAACACTTGGCTCCTGTATTACTGCCTCTGTGAATCCTTCTCAGGCTTCTCCTCTTTGTGTTCCTGCAGTCTTTCCCTTTATACCTCTAAACTCACTGACATCGAGTCGGATCTGACTCACAGTGACCCCTCCTTGGGCTTCCAAGATGGTATCACTACGGAAATAAATTGCCCCATCTTCCTCTAGCAGATATTAATGCATGCTATCGTATTTGGTTTACCATATGAAACTATCGTTTTGTTAGGTCAAAACACATCAAATATCAGCCATTTGATATTATAAAAACATTGCTTAGATCTACGTTAACATGCTGTTTCCCACCTAGACTGTGAGTAGAGGAGCTGCCACCTATCTCTTTGTTTCCTCAGCTCCTGGCAAGGAAGGACTGCTGAAAGAATAAGCACCATGGGGCAAGTTTCTGTATGCTCCCTGCTCTGCTATGCTGCCTGATCTAATGCAAAACCAAAACTGAATGCAGGACTGTTGTAAAATAAATCGCAAACTTTCATCCCTGCCAAGCCATACTTCAGATGTAGAGCCTGAAAGCGCCTCAGATAGGCAAAAGGTCACAGTGAAAATTATTTAGAACAACTACCTTTCTGGCAGGAGAAGCAGAGTCAATAGTTGATGGAGAGGAAGTAGCAGCTGGATCAGGAGATGGAAGGCAAGAGGGAGGAGACGGAGGATGAGTAGGAGACAGGCCTTTAGAGAGTAGTTTACTCTGCACAGAACAGAAATAGAAGAAAGTATTACTATCCCAGGGGACACTCACAGTGATGCAGGCCTTGATGACGCAGCTGCATGCCCACACATCAGAGGGGAAAAGACATCTAGGGCCGGCGGCTCGGGACAAAACAGAAGCCTCTGTCTTTGAACCATGCAGCACTATCTGGCTCCTGGTTGCACTGCATTCTGCTACAGCTCTTCTAGCTCCCTTTTCACACCAAACTAGCTAAAGAGATCCATTCGGTTCCTGCTTACATCTGCCCCAGACACCAGCATTTGCTACTGAAACCCTCATTCTGAGCTTGTTACACAGTAGCAGCTGCAAAGCTTAGGAAAGAAGAATCCGGGCTACTTTGGGGCAGATGGCCACAGCAGGAGCTTCTGCAGCCCCAGATGTCTGTGCAAGCCTCTGGCAGCCACATGGAACTCTAAAAATGTACTCAGTATAAAGCATCCTTCCATGTCCATGAGGACGCAGGTCTGGAGGAGACTGAGTGGAATCAGCAGAGAAGGCTCGCTGCCAAGTGAGGCAGTGTCTTACACATGCACCTCAATAGAAACTTTTTCATCTCCTTGTGAGCCCCCTCTCTTCTTTTCAGCAAGTTTTCAATAAGCAACTGGTTTGGAGAAGGCTATATTTTCTACTCTAAGGCAAAGACACTCAGCTGGATATTGCCTGTTGGGGAAGCAGAGCCCAGGTTACAGCATGTGGTTGACCATGTCATTCTGTGTCTCCTTGATGAGGACCCCAGGGAGATTACTGAAGACACTGTGTCCAAGAACATCATGGGCAACTGGTTGCTTACACCTTATAACCAAAAAACCCCAAACTCACTGCTGTCGAGTCGAACCCAACTCATAGCAACCCCTTTTTGGGTTTCCGAGGCAGTATCTCTATGGGAGTAGATTGCTCAGTCTTCCTTCCAAGGAGTGGCTGGTGGGTTTGAACTGCCAGCCTTCTGGTTAGCGGGCAAATGCCTTAGGCACTATGCCACCAGAGCTCCCTTATACCTTATAGGTGCCATGATTCTTCCAAGTGGCCAGCTTTCCTTCTTGGCACCAAGAAAGCTTAGGAAGCTCACAGCCTACCTAGAAACTGTTTAGGCTCTCATAGTTTCTGTATGTATTCCTGTGACCTGAGCTTACTTTTCTGGCTTGGCTTTCCCTTTGTTCTTATGTTGAATCTTCACATTGGGTCATTTTTAGATGCACTTAAATTCTTTAGTAGCTTGAAAAACTACTAACTCCTCATGCTATAAAAGGAGGAGGAAGGAATAAATCAAACTCCTGAGATTGTCAGGGTCACCTGGCTAGATGGCCAACATCTGGGTTCCTGGGGGACTCTGAAACCCCTGTGTTTACCTGCGGGAAGTCCCCTTGTCCAAACATGGAAGCAAGTTGAGCCGCCTTCTCCTTAATATTCTTTTGATGAAATTCCCTGTTGGCCAAGTTCTGAGCCCTCTTCTGCTATCAAGGTGAGAAAGGAGAAAGAAAAGAAAGCAAGAGACTGTGATGAAGCGGTCAGGGGGCTTGCCTCATTCACCCCACATGGCAAGATGGGAGACAGGGAGTGACTAGTAAGAGAAGGAACCCACCGTGGGCAGAGGAGGGAGAGGGAGGAAGGGAAGTCAGCCCAGACACAGACAGAGGGTGGGCAAAGAGGGAGACTTTCACCTGGAGAATCTTCTCCTCCACTTCTTGCAGGCGCCGCAGCACCCCGGAGAGGGCCAGCGCTCCCTGACAGGTAGGAGGGCAGACAGCTGGACTTTCGGGCCCACCCAGCTGCAGGTCCGACTTGGCCCTGGCTCTCCAGGGCCTGCTTGAGCACTCGCCACCAGCAGACATTTGCTTTAGCTCTCTGTGCATGTGCCCAGGCATAGCCACCGATGGAAGCTGGGAAAGAGGGGAAACCAAGCTTCCTTCCCTACTGCAGCCCTTTCACAGACCCCCATGGTGAGGATTCCCCACGAGGACCGTAGACAAAGGGCACACCAGGTGCCACCCTGAGCAAAATTTCAAACTAGTCTAAAACCAAAAAACCAAATTCACTGCCAGTCAGTCAATTCTGACTCATAGCAAGCCCCTTTGGGTTTTGAGGCAGTAAATCTTGACAGAAGTAGATTGCCCAGTCTGCCTTCCACAGAGTGGCTGGTGGGTTTGAACCCCCAACCTCTGGTTAGTAGTCAAATGCCTTAGGCACTATGCCACCAGAGCTCCTTAAACTAGCCTCAGGGGTTGACTTTCATCCACCTGTATAAGAACACCTGCCATCCCCATTAAGAACATATATTCTTGGGCCTTGTCCAAAAAGATCCAGACCCACTGAGTCAAAGCCTATAGAATGACGGTTCTCAGTTCTGGCTGTACACTGAAATCATCTAGGGCACTTGAAAAAAAAATACCCAAGACTGGGTCCAACCTCCTGAAATTCTGATTGGCCTGGTGTAGGCATCAGACAGTACCTGAGTGGCACAAATGCTTGACTACTAAAAAAAAGGGTTGCAGTTTGAACTCACCTAAAGGAACCACAGAAGAAATGTCTCGCAATCTGCTTCTGTGAAGATTATAGCCTAGAAAACCCTGTGGAGCTCAGCTCTGCTCTGTAACACACGGGGTCCCCATGCGTTGGAATCAGCTCGATGGAGCACAGGCACCAGACACTGGTATCTTTAAAAAGCTCCCCAGGTGATTCTTATGCACAGTCATAATAATCCCTGCACTGTGTTCACACTGGCACTCAATTTCCACCCGTTGGAAGCAACACAAAATTTCTAATGCTGACCAGACATCTTTGAATACAATGGCCACTAACAGTGATTCTGTTAAAATTCCAAATCCAGACTCACTGGCTGGGAAAAATCAGAGTCCAGAGCTACTGGCCGCCCCCCTGCCCACCTATGCAGTTGTCCTCTGGTGCTAAGGAGAAGGCTCCACCCCATTCCAGTTTTGCCCCTTCAAGGAGATGCAGCCAATTAGCCACCTGGGCTGGTTCCACCATCATTGCCATTTTCTTCTTCAGAGTTTAAAAATCAGCCCATTCAAGGGATCTTCAAATAAAGCTAAGTGGCATATGGGACATCACACAAAATGTCCCACGTGGCATGGTTTGTTTTTCTACAAGAAACTATAGCACCAAGAACATTGTAGTTGGTCAGTCAATACCTCTGACTGGTGAGAGATCAATAGCATACATGGTTATTCTTACCTATCAGAGTTGTGACCTCAAGTTGTGTGGCTTGACCAGAGAATCTATAATCAGCCCTTTTTGGAGGGTGGGGAGAGCCAGTAAGCCCCACCCCTCTAGGACAAAGTCCCCTCTGACTTCAGCAAAAGCGCATCCACTGGAAGAAGCCCTACCTGCCTTTTCAGAGGAAGTGATGGGCTGGGTGTGGGGTCCTTCGGCTTGGGGCAGCGAGGGTTAACAGGAGAGGCAGAGGAAGAGCACAGGGCAGGCTTACCTATCCCTGAGATACTGCGTTCCTGGGAGGAGAGAGGCGAATCCAAGAAAGCAGTCGCAGGAAATATGAAGGAAAAGGTCAATCAGATTGAGAGACACTTGGAGGGAGGAGAGAGAGAAAAGCAGGGAAAGAGTTTACAAGTGCAGAGCCGGCACTAGCTGAGCACCTGTGACTGGGCCCAGCTGGGAAACCTGAGCCCCTGGTCTCCGTCCATGTGGACATCCAGTCCTGGAGTCCCCTCCTCATGACAAGGTGTGAATGTCAAGGAGGCTTTGCTTTTGGCTCAGACACAGGAATGGAGCAAGCACTGATAGCCTATACTAGCCAAGATGGCAAGCCAGTCCTCCTAGAAAGGGGGACACTTGAGGGTAGAGATGCTACAGTCCATCTGGTGGTATAGGGCCTTCATCAACACTTAGGGACTGAAAGGGGCCAAGTCTCCAGAAGGGGCACTCACGAAATATTGTAGACAATTAAAAATCTCAGAGACATGGCCCCCCTTATAACACAATCACTTGAATCCTGGGGGAGGTCAGTTAGCCCAAGCAGGGACATGGTCCACAGCAAGATCAAGACGATATTACATAGTCCTCTAAACCTCATTCACCAAGAATCTGCTTTCCTCCTGAAGAGCCTAAGTCTGTCATACGTTCTCCAAAGGAAAAGAAAATCTTATCAAAAGCTTTTGTAAAGTGACAGCAGCATTCTAAAGGAAATGCAGGGGAGAAACTGACCTATGTGCACCTCCAAGCCAGAGCCAGTGAGAAGTCAGGCTCAGTCTGCAGCCTGACCCACAGCATTCAGCCTCCTGCAATCTAGGCTCACCTCTGTCAGACACAACAGCCCTCCAGACTGACCTGAGGATACAGGGAGAGATGGAGGTGCCTGGGAACACTTGGGAGGGTGCCCAATTCCTATGCCCCACATGGAACTAAGACTGTGACTTGGTTTTCTCACTATGGGCTTAGATGGTACTCTCTGGACAGCCAGCACCTGAAAAGCTCCCTCAAGCTGTGCCATCTCAATGGTGGCTGCAAACCAAGTCATAGTTGCAAAACCAAATTAGGAATGGATTTCTCTACTACTCTAGAAACAGGCACTGGTAAAATATGGCCTATAGGCCAAATCTGGCCTGCTGCCTGTTTTTGCAAATAAAGTTTTATTGCAACACAGCTATGCTCATTAGTTTATGTATTGTCATGCTACAACAGCAGAGCTGATCTAGAAGTAGGCTGAGTCTCTCTTTAACCAAGGCCTGCCAACCATACCAGAAGTTCATTACTAGCCTGAACATTTCTGCTGGCTTCCCAGAAGGTCTGGTCACCAGGAAAGCAGGTCCATTCATTATTGACATGACTGACCTGCTTCAGGAGTGAAGGATTCAGAGTGCTCTCCTCAAACTTGGCCAGTAGCTGATTTGCAATGGATTTAACTTTGTTCTGATTTCCACCTTCTTTAATGCTGCCACACACTTGATTGGAGCCCAGGCTTCGGCTGGAAAAATTTGACGGCTGCAAAAGTCAAAACAGTGCATTGGCTGTTGGATAATGGAGCCCAGATAACAAGGAGGGAGCCTGGGGACTCAAGACACGGGACTACTTTCTTGAAGAGGGACTCCCTTTGTGGTCTGAGGAAGAGAAGCAGCAGCAGTAGGTGCAACTCAATAGAGACAATGGTCACAACAAAGAGAAGCATCTTTCCAGAGCAGGGGTATACCCAGGCTTGGGAGCCAGACAATTAGGGTTTGGATCCTGCCTCTTTCACTTCTCTGAAGTTTCCTCATCTATAAAATGGGAGCAGTAACCCCTTTATAAACAAAACCAAAAAACCAAACACAACTGCCGTCGAGTTGGATCCGACTCATAGTGACCCCTCCTTGGGTTTCTGAGGCAGTATCACTATAGAAGTAGATTGCCCAACCTTCCTTCCAAGGAGTTGATAAGACGTTGGAAGAATTAAAGATGATAATGAAGTGAAGCGATGAGTAAAATAGTTTCAGAAAACATTGCTTGGCTGCCATGAGGTCAAGAGTGAGTGGGATGAAAGAGTGTCAGTCAGTGACCGGGTGAGGCACAGTCTCTAGGGTTCCTTCTTCTCTCTTCTCTGCATCCCACCTGCAACTTCAACCTAGACTGTTCTTTCTTAGCTTTTTAAAACCTTGTTATTTTGCAATAATTTGAGATTTACAGAAAAGTTGCAAAGCTATTACAGGTACTTCCTGTATACTCTTCACCCAACAGCTCGTAATGTTGGCATCTGCAATAATTGTGGTACCTTCATTGAAAATAAGAAATGAACACTGGTACAATACCATTAACTAAACTACAGACTTTATTCAGATTTCAGAAGTTTTTCCACAAATGCTGTTTTTCTGCTCCAGGATTCAATCCAGAATCCCCATGCTGCATTTAGTTATCTTGTCTCCAGCCTCCTCCAATCTGTGGCAGTGTCTCAGTCTTTCTTTGTCTTTCATGACCTTGATACTTTAGAAGGGTACTGTCAGCTATTTTTAAGTGCTGTTGGTACAGTGGTTAAGCACTCACCTGCCAACCAAAAGGTCAGCAGTACGAACTTACCCGCCACTCTGTGGGAGAAAGATGAGACAGTCTGCTTCTGCAAAGATTTACAGCCTTGGAAACCCTATGGGGCAGTTCTACTTTGTCCTACAGGATCACTATGAGTCAGAATCAACTCAATAAAAACTGGGTTTTATTATTATTATTATTAGTTACTTTGTAGAAAGTCCCTCAATTTGTCTGATGTTTTCTCATGATTAGAATAGGGTGATGGATTCTGGAGAAGGAGATCACAGAGGTGAAGTGCCCTCCTCACTGCATCATTTCAGGAGTATATGATATGAATGTGACTTATGACGGGTGATGTTGACCTTGATTGCTTGGTTATGCTGCTTTGTAAAATGGAGTCCTGTGTAAGATTTGTTTAGCTCATCTGCTAAAAACAAACATTTCAATTTGTCAGAACTCAGGACTACACAATACAGAGTTAACACTAATGTAAACTATGGAATTTAATTAGTGATAATTTATGAACAATGGTTCATCAGTTGTAACAAATACACTGCAGTAATGCAAGATGTTACTACGAGGAGAAACAGTGTGCAGAAGGAAGTAGGGCATGTGGGAACCCTGTATTTCTGGCGTAATTTTTCCGTAACTTAAAACTGCTCTAAAAAATGAAATCCATTGAAAAATAAGTAAAAATTTTAAAATTACTGATGTTCAATACATGTCTGTCCTTCCTTACCATAGGTTTGGTCCCTCGGGCCTCAGAAGTATACATGGTATTATGTCAAGTGAGCAGTATATGTGCCCAAGGAGACAAATTTTTTCATGGAAAAGATACTATCAAGACAACAAAGATGTGTTCATCTAGAAGGAATTCACCAGAGGAGGCTGGCTAATGTCAATTGATTTTTCAAAGGGTCCCTAGGAGTAGCAGCTCCATGGGAAACTTTGTATGTACAGCCTCTCTGGGAGTGTTGGCAAACACACGCAAAGGGTCACCCCCTACTACAAAGTGTGAAATGTAACTCTATATATCAATACAGGCTTGAGCAAGAAAGGGATGTGGTCTCTCTGTATATCACCCAAGTCAGGCAGGAAGTGGGTCATCCAGACCCTGCTGCTCAAACATCCACGTGCACACGAACCGCCTGGGGAGCCTGTGCAAAGCAGACCCTGGTTCAGTGGGTCTGGGTGGACTCTGCCAGTCTGCATTTCTAACATGCTCCCCGGTGGCACTGATGCTGCTGGTTTATGGACTACGCTTCCAGTAGCAAGGCTCTAGAAAGAATTACTGTTTTGTTAAAGCTGACTTTAAGTAAAACAGTTGCCCCAGAAAACAGTCAAGAGTCATCTCAGAAGAGGCCAGATGTAAACCAGATTTCTTCCCATATCCAAATCCTGTGCTGCCACCAACAGAAATACCACAAACACCACCTTAGACAAGCTGCAGTGAGACAGGACTAGAATAAACCAAGGATGAAGAGCAGAAGACGACTTCTGCCCGAGACAAACTGTACCTAAAGGAAGCTTCTTGGCAAGAGGCAGAAGAAAATCACAGGCTTGAAGGCACAAAGCCAACAAACACCCTGCAACCTGGGAAATGGGACGTTTCTCCAGCCCTACTGGCCTCTGCTTCCTCCTTGAAGTCACCTCCCTGCTGGCTGGCTTTCCCTTCCCACCACAGCCAGAGTCAAGAGAAGTGGAAGAAAGGGCTCTTGAGGGATCACCCGAAGAAGCTTTAGAAAACATTCCAACAAGGGTAATTTGCACTCACTGAATAAAATGAGTTTGTTCACATTTTGAGTGGTGAACTAAACTACGGGTTCCATTTATCAGTGCTTCTCTTTGGCCATCCTAGAAATGGAGTATGTATGAGGCAGCTGCACCCTCCCCAAGGTGGGCCTCATGGCTCTATGCTAATAAGTTTACTGGTTGTTGTGAGATGGAGTATCCTAACCCCTGACCCACATCAAACAGATCAGAGAGGTGAATAACATAGTAACATTGTACAGAAATAAAGTGCCTTTAACCATATAAGATAGAAAAATGCTTCTCTAAGTTCTGTGAGTCAGGTATCAATGTATTATACAAATTAAACCAAGTGTCTCTAGGTCATAATGTTGACATAAGCCAGTGGACTAGCTAAGGCTGATTTACAATGAACTTGACTGGCAATAGTTACACTTGCCTTTGTGGAATTAGAATGGCCTTTTTGAATAAAGTACATATCTTAGGTCTCTTTAAAAGAGACCTGGGGAAGCATGAAGTGGTATTTTCTTTTTTCTCTGATCAAATCTTTGGTAGTGTAGTGCCTAAGGCACTTGACTGCTAACCAGAAGGCTGGCGGTTCAAATCCACTAGCCACTCCTTGGAAGGAAGGTTGGGCAATCTACTTCCATAGTGATACCACCTCGGAAACCCAAGGAGGGGTCGCTATGAGTTGGGTCCAACACCATAGCATATGACAAGAATTTTTCAGAAGCAGGAGACAAAGTAGCCTGTAATTTTTTTCTTTCACCAGGAGGTGGCACTTGTGGGTACTGAACCTTTGCCTTAAAGATTAAAAAGCAGAGAAAATACAAAAGGGTACTGCGGTGTAGTAAAGTACTTAGTGTGGCTTTTCTACCTATAAGTCTTTGTAAACTCCAAGGTGGGATTTTCTATGAGCAACTGAGGAGCTCCTGATTGCTAAAGTTATCCACCTGAGTATTTCTGTTGGGAGTGGCACAAAACAATGTTCTAGGAGGTGCCCACTCTCTCTCAGGTGCTTAGAGTTCTGATGCTATGATTGGCTAGTTTGACCACGCTGCTGGGCTCAAAAGGAGGCCTCCTAGAGGCAGAACTCTCTCTGACTGCTGGTTGAGGAAGACGTGCTGCCGAAAGAGACACGCACCCCTGAAAGAGACACGTGCTGCTGGGAAAGAGACGCAAGAGACACGCATCGCTGAGTGAGACACCAAGGGACCAGCACTGCTGGGAAAGAGACTGTGAGAGACTGTTGGCTGAGGGACGGTGGGCTGGGAGAGAGACTGAGCATTCTTTCTGAACTTGAGTTGTAGCCTGGTGCTTCCCTAATAAACCCCGTAATCCGTGAGTTCTGTGTGGCCACTGCAGTGAATTATCGAACCCAGAGGAGAGGTGGTGGGTGCTTTGGGAGGAACGGTTGGAGAAAGGGCTGGAAGGGGGAGGCAGCAAGTCTGGCCTGGCAGGAATAGGCCTTGGGTTACTGCTGGTAATCCTGTCTTCCTCTTGTAGGGTTAGAGGAGGTTGGAACATGTGGCCTCCTTGCCGTTTTAGCAGGTACAGACGGACAATGACAGTTAAGAAAAGTGGGATGCCGGCACCTCTTTACCACTACTATTAATAGTAACTGCATATTGATTAACATATAATTGCTAGTATGTGTGGTATGATACATACATCATCGCGTTTAATCTTTAAAAATCCTGCAAAGTTAGTATTATCCTCATCTCATAAACACGAAACACTCACAGAAGTTATATTTCTCAAGGTGACACAGCTAGCAAGTGTTGGAATGAGGACCATCACTCAAGAAGGTCTCTCCACTAGGCCATGCTGGTGCACATGTACCCAGTGCGAATAGCAAAGGAAGGACAGAAAGACCAGGAATGCTGCCTTGATCAGGGAAGCTTGTGACAGCTAGTCGTGAGGAAACAGGCCTTTGTTTAAATTGACATGGTGCACACTAACCTCATCCAGATTGTTGAAGCCTTTCCGCCTCCGTTTGTTCATGTCATTCTCTTCAGTTTGGCCATCCACCTGCAATGGTGCAGAAAGCAGGGTGAGCCCATGGCCATCACTCACTCTAGTTCTACTAGCACTCTGAGTTAGCTAATGGGGTGTCTTCCCTCCTGTAGGCTGGTAGCTTAGGAATTAGATACAGAAATAAATTGCCCTCTACTGTTATCAGAGTCATGGTCAGGCACAATGGCCTTATCCACTCCAGGAGCTAAGGGCTCTGAGAGAATGGGTAGGAATCACATCCTAAGAGATCATGATAAAACTTCCCAAAGCAAAGAGTCCTTGCAAAGTAGGCCATTGGCGATGTGACCTTGGGCTAAGAGCAGTTAAATGGCTTGCCCAAGCTCACAGTCAGGCCTGAGGATGGCAAACAGTGTGCTGCCTTCTGAGAACACCACACTGCCCTGCCCTTGGTAGCTTTTCTCCTTCAAGGAGGTGGCACTGGTTTAGCTTGAAGGGATTCTCAGAACTCAAATTAGCTGTCTGGAGATTTGATGGAAAATTAAGTCTACAATGCAATTGCCATCATAGTTTCAAGTAAACTACATTTTATTAGGTTCAAGTAAGCATTAGATGTAGCCCAGAAGGTCGGGTGATCAGACATCCCAGGACAGTTGTGATCTACTGCCTTTTTTGGCCTTGGTGTAATTAACCGTGCCCCCTTTCACTTTCAAAAATGCCCTAGTCAGGCAATAAATTGCATAGTTGCCCTACTGATAATCCTTTATGATCTGTTGTCTGCTACCTGGATCTAGACATTTAAACCCAGAAAACCCAGCTCTATCCAAGCCCATCACATTATGGGACTGCAAGGGTCCTCAAAGGGCACACCCACCATCAGGCTTGTCTCCCACAGGGAAAGCAGGACTGCACACGTTAAGCTGACACTGTGGGCTAGGGTGGAGGTAGTGGGCTAAATTTAGTACTCTGTTCCCTGCTGTGTAAGCCTACCCTTGACTCAGGCTAGGGTCTACCCAAGACCTACCTGTACCCTTCTGCAGTTAGACCAACTCTCCCACCAGCCTGTGGCTGAGGCCTACTCTAAATGGCTAGCGGCCTCAGGAGCATGGTATCAACTCCCACCTACTGTGCATCCTTTCTCTGGGAGACTCCTATTCTCTCAGAGGGACTCTCCATAGCAGGCCCAGATTAAATCCCAGCTGTTGTACCACTTTGGATGAAGTAGGAAGGGTTGTGGGCCACCCTTTCCCCTCTAGCCAAGGTATACAGCCCAGTCAGCCTCATAAACACTAATCCTATCCAATCAGAGTAGAATTACTTTTTCTCCTAGTGGTTCTTAAACAGCAGTAACTACAGAAGCCCCTTGGCACACAGTCTACTAAGTGTCCACTTGCTTCCAATAAAAGGCTTGCTCTCCACCACTCATCTGTCAATCTGTCATACTGTGGTGGCTTGCATGTTGCTGTGATTCTGAAAGCTATTTCAAATAACAGCAGGGTCATCTATAATTGGACAGGTTTCAGCATAGCGTCCAGACTATGACAGACAAGGAAGAAAGGCCTGTGATCTATCTCTGAAAATAAGCCAGTTACAACTTCACGGATCACTACAGAATGTTATCAGATGCAGTACTAGAAGAGGAATCCCCTGGGGTGGAAGGCACTGAAAACCCACAGTGAGCACAATGATGGACTCAAACAAGCCAAGAATCATGAAGATGGGCCTGGACCAGGCAACATCTTGTTCTGTCGTCCGTGAGTCGGCACCGACTTGACAGCAACTAACAACAACAATTCTTCTTTCACATCCTTACTATTCTCTTTCCCCACTCTGTGTTTACCACCATCTTTTATTTTTTAAGACAAGATCAACCACAGTTTAATCATTGATATTTGTTAAAAAAATTTGACCCTTCCCTTGCCCAGGCAGCACAAAACATTAGATCAAAGGGCCTTCCCTTCCCTTCCACATTTTTTCAGCTTCTAATAAATCATTATGCTGTGAATGGAAATGGTTCCAGCCCAAATGCTTGGGCAAACACCAAGAGAAACAGATGACCTTATTTGCAACAATGTTGGGTCTTAGAGGCATAGGCTGTCTAAGCCTCACGCCACAGCCTGTGAATGGCGCATTGGCCCTGAGACTGAAGGCGGTCAAAGTACAGAGCGTCCTACCCGACAAGAACATTTTCACGCATAATCTTAGAGTTTTCTGTTGTTTTTCTGTTTCCATCTTAAGCGAGGGCTTGGCTTCTCCCCCAAAGAGCAACACATCTTACTCTCTTTTACACTCAACAGCCCAGGGTTTGACTGTTCAAATAATCAGAGACAATATAGATCCAAACCCAGCCAGCCACAGGCTCACAAAGGCATTCCTGGGAGAAAGTACCCAGCCAGCAGCTCCTAAGAAGACCCCAGATTCCTCAAAGGGAATAAAGGAAGTGGGTAAGAGTAACCACAGCTCCTCTGATCCACTCTGACCCAAGGTAAAATGGAATCTATATGAAAAGGAAGGAGCTCTGGTGGAGTAGTGGTCAAAGCATTTGGCTGCTAACCAAAAAGATTTGAATCCACCAGCCACTGTGTGGGAGAAAGATGAGGCAGTTTGTTTCCGTAAAGATTTACAGCCTTGGAAACCCTCAGTGGCAGTTCCACTCTGTCCTATAGGGTCACCATGAGCTGAATCAACCTGATGGCAGTAGGTCTGGTTGGATATATGTAAAGGTTAGCAACATGTATCATTTGTTCTACAGATAATCAAGGAACAAGGAGGAAGAAAATACTCATAATTCCTAGTTAGAGGCAGCATGATAAAAACAAATAATTTTCTCTTCCTGTCAGGGTTTTCCAGCCCTTTCACTCTCAGAACACTTTATCATGATTTTCACCAAAGGGCATTTATTGAACTAATTGGTTTCCCCCATAGCTATCTGCTAATCTGCTCATTTGATCTGCACAAGATAGCCAAGTTCCCACATAGCCTGAATTAATGTGATTTTTAGCTCAAAGAAAAGAAACTTGATATTTAGTTAGCTGGTATAAACTAATCCTGAAGAAATTTGATCTGGTCATAAGAGAGATTGGCCACTACAGGCCAAGGCCTGGGTGAATAGGGGGACAGCTATAAGAAAAAGGGTAACACTGACAGGGCAGCTCGTCTATTCTTCAATGGCGGAGCAGCAAAGGGTCATGGGTTTGAGTTCTCACACTAAGAACTTCCTAGCTGTGTGACCTAAGGAAAAGCACTTAACTTCTCTGACTTTACTTTCCTCACTTAAAAATGAAATCATGCATATAAAGTACTGCTTAAGTACTACACAATAGTTAGACCGCAGTAGCATGGTTAATATTTGTAACAGAATTAGAAAACGTGAAGAGTAGCTCTGGTTTTGACATTTGCCAGCTATGTGACTTATGGCAACTTAATTTTCATAAGTTTGAGTTTCCCCATCTACAAAACTAGGATGAAAATAGGTTCCCTGCCTTCCTCGAAAGGTTACATCAGAACAAATGAGATAAATATTGAAGTACGTTGTATGCTTATGGCTGCACTCACTATGCGACCAAGTATTCAATTCAAATAATTTTTACTCATCTTCTCAGAAATCAAGGAGCTCTGGTGGTATAAAGGCTAAAGCATTTGGTGGCAAGCCAAAAGGTTGGCAGTTTGAACCCAACAGCCGCTTCATGGGAGAAAGATAAGGCAGTCTACTTCTGTAAAGATTAACAGCCTTGGAAACTCTCTGAGGCAGTTCTACTCTGTCCTGTAGGGTCCCTGTAAGTCGGAACCGACTAGAGGGCAGCAGGTTTGGGGTTTGGTTTTAGAAATCTATAATTCTCATTTCACTGGTATTCCTAAAGGAAGGGCCCTATCATTTCCTGAGCCCCTTCTATGTGCCACGCAGAGTGCTCAGACCTTCAGCACATTTTGCTCATGTCACCTTCCCAACAATGCCATGAGATATATGTTATTATTTTCATTTTGTAGGCAAGCAAAGGAACTTTCTGAGAGGTTCAAACATTTGCCAGACCCCCAGCAAACCCAAATACATGTCTGGCTACCTGACTTCAAATTCCACCCTCAACCTGTAAATCAACTCAGAATCATAGCAGAGAGGAAAGGAGAGACAGCAGCCTTGACAAGTACCTGCAAACCGCCAGTGCCTGGGGGTGGGGGTAGGGGTGGGTGCTGATCTGGGCCCTGCGCTTTCGGAGCTTAGAAGGCTGGCAGCTTCGCAGATGAGCACTCTTCATCTTAAATGGTCTTCAGATCTCTGAATTAAAAAGTACCAGAAATCTAGTGGAGAGCTCTGGCTGCTTTGAAAGTTGGGGAAGGGGAGTTTTAGAAACTAAGTCCCACTAGACTTGTAAGCTCTGTAAGCAGATCCTTGCTTGTCTTGTAAAGATTAAGTGCTCTACCTCCAGCACCTGGAAGAGAACTCAGCATCAAATAGGTACTCAATAAATGTCTGTTGAATGAATGGATGGTTGGAGGAGGCACTTTCTTAAAGGAGGTCTCCTGGCTCTTTGGAAAGTGTTTGTGCAGGAGGGCCAGGGAGAGGAGGACAGAGGAGGACTGGACCGGACCAGACACTGAGCCAGCCATGCTTTGTGAACTCCACACTGCCAGAGGATTCATGAGGAAGGAAGAGAAAGACCTGGATCAGAAACAGTCACTGGGCAGAAGAAATGCTGGGGTCATCTGCCCGGCTCTGGGTACACTTTCCAGGAACTATCACAACCTTTGTGTTGGGACCCAAGGAGTGGGCTCAGAATGGGACAAACATCAGATATCCAATGTATGCAATGACTGTAATTGCCATAGATACAAGTATCACCCAGGTGTGGAAAGTCTAGGAGAGTACAGACAAGGACATGTGTGTGTGTATGTGTGTACCTGTGTGTGTGCGTGCCCGCGCAGGAGTAATGGGGGCAAAGTATATGCTCAGGTGTCACCTGCATTCATGGTAAAAAGAGCCCTGGAATTCCCAGGAACTGCCCCGTGCCATGGGATGCTTAGATGCTATTGTCCAGGATCAACTGCAGACCTACAAAGGCAGACTCCTTCCTATGGGGAGAATATAATGCCCCCAGTCTTCTCCTTTCCCCAGGCATGGGCCATCCAGCTTTCATAGCTAATCAATCCAATCAGTTACCACTCACCAGAGACCTCTTAGCTGTGAGATGATAAAGTTACTCTCTCTAAAAGGAAACAAGGTCCTTTGTGGAGGAAAAGTTTTCTATTTTTCCAGAAGTTGATAAATCTCATTGCAATTTGGATGGAATCAGGAAGACAAAATTAGGGAGGAAAGAAGACTTTAAGACCAATAGTGAAAAACAGGAGGGAGAGAGATTCTTAGAACTGGCTCAGCAGAAAACAATGAATCCTTTTCAGATGAAGAAGTTACATTGTAAAAGAATGTGCAATATCGGGTCCCTGATAAAGACATTGCTCTGGAAGTTGGGGGTGGTGGGGAGAGAGTAGTGAGGGTTACTGAGGGATGGAGAAAGGGAGCGAGGTCAAATGGAGATGCACCTATATGTACAGACACTGTGTGTGTGCATGTGCACTACGGTGTAGGATCACATAAGCACGGCTGAACCTTTGTCTCTATTCCAGAAGGTGCATGAGCTAGGACATCAAGGGTTGCGTGTCTAACTGCACTGATGTTTTCTGCAGTGCAATATGGTGGAGCCTCTGTGTCTGCAGTTTTCTAGAGTCTGGGTGCAGACATCTATGGTGTCTCTCTGCAGGAGCAGATGAGAGTGGACTTAGTGCTCTTTGTAGACAGTGTCAAGACCAATGAACATTGCAAATTAATTCTCCAAGCCAAAAGCGTATCCAGATTTACCATGAAGACCCACAGTAGAATAAGGAGAAGGTACTCTGTGTGTGGTCCTGATGACTGGATTGCTGGGATGGTGTGGTGGACAAGATTTGGAGGTATTTCAATAATGTCTAAGGCATAGTGTGACCCCAATGGCCCTACTGACTCACCTATCCACCCAGAGGAAGTGCTCAATGTGTTTGAGGAGAAATAGAAGAACAAATACTGCCTATGCCACGAGCACTTACTTCAATGACCAAATCTCTCTACATATCCTAAGAGCAAGGCAAATTGTAAACATTAAATGGGGCTGTGGGAGAGGTCAGATTTGTGGGTTTTGACCCTCTTATAAGATGCACACACTGGGGAAGACCGAACATGGGTCAAAGCAGGCCAGGGCTCAGTAGGGCAGACCCCACGAGCTTCCACTGCGTCTCTAAGCAGAACCAGTGGGGAGTGGAGGAGGGCGAAGCAGCCCCAGGAAGGAGAGCCTGCTGCCTTGCTGACTACCAATCGTCAACCACTCCATCTTCTGAGCCAGAGTTGGCCACATTACCTCAATGCAGTCATTCTGTAAACAGAGGAGTGGTGAGTGAAAGGTTTACACAGTCATCTTCAGTTCTTTCTGTCATTTCCAGTTATAGGCTAAGTACTGGGAAAAACAGGGGTAAATGGAGAAAGCAGCATATGTTTGGCTCAGAGAGCTTCCAGAAAGACTGCCTGCTTGGGTCAGAGTAGCCCAAAGCAGGGGTCTTTGGGCTTCAATGAAAAAACAGTTGAGCTACAGTGGCACCAACCAGAGACTGGTCTCCAGGAGACAGTGTTCTCTCAATGGGACATATGGTGGAGAAGCCTGCCCTTACCTGGAGCCTCTAAACTGGGGCAGTTCAGGAAGCAGAGGGGGCAAAAGGAGCTAGGTGTAGCTCATTAGTTTAGCTGCTCCGATTAAAATCCTAACAGATCGACACACCTTCCTTCCCACCCCAACCTCGCTAGCCCATTCCTTCCTACAGACAGGGTGTGGCAGAAGTTTTAAGTATCCTGCTCCTGGAGTTAGCAAAACAACTGTTGCAACATTCCAGGGAGAACAGACCTCAGTGGAAAAAGTGACCACTGCTCACCAGCTGAGGGAAAGAAAGGAGGCCTCGGGGAGGTGGCAGCCCCACCCTGGGCGGAGGGGCTGAAGGACAAGGTGTGACTGGCCAATGACTGAAGAGACTGTTGGCAATTTAGAGAGATTCAAAAACACGCAGAAACCTGCAGCCCCTTTGCAATGTCAGTGGAGGACTTGAAGTTCTGGAAAGGGAAGGAAACTCTGTGCAGGTATTTAAAATGGCCCTCTCGAGCGTCCTCTGCTCCAGCCAGTGGTTTTGCCTCTGATCCTTATCCTGGACCGCTCTCTCCTCTGCTCCCACTGTCCACTGCCCCAGGGCTCTCCATTCATTTGGCTTCTTTAAGTGATATGACTGAGGTTCTTCTTCCTTGTCACTCATCCCTGAAGCCTTTCTAGTTCCTGTTCGTCCCCTTGATCCCAATATATGGCTGTCTCATCCCCCCTCCCAAGGCTCCAGAGGACTATACATTCGGTCTTTACCAGTTATCATTGAAGTGATTCTGACTCTTGGTGGGCCTATGTGTGTCAGAGTAAAACTGTGCTCCGTATGGTTTTCAATGGCAGATTTTTCAGAAGTAGATCACTCGGCCTCTCTTCTAAGGTGCCTGTGGGTGGGCTTGATCTACCAACCCTTTGGTTGGCAGCTAAGTGCCATGTATACCACCCAGGGATACCCCATTCAGTCCTATTCCTCTGAAATTTTCCTTTTGTCCCCAACACCTCCAAATCCCACAGCCTTTCTTCAGTCCTCATCAGATTTGGTTTCTCTGTTACTTAACATAATCTCTTGAACTCATCATTTGGAACTCTCGCCCTGCTAGGTTTTCTGATTTCCTTCCTTTTTGACAGTTCCTTCTTCATCCTCTTTCCTGGATGCTCTACCTGCCAGTCCCTTAAATTCTGTTGTCCCTCAAGGTCTGACCGTCAGTTTTCAGTCTTCTCACCACCTTTCTGGCCTCGTATCTTTCCAGCTAGACTGTAAGGTCAAATCTCACATCACTTCTGCTTGTCCTAACACTAGATATTTTATAAATACCTTTTAACAAACTAATTACTTAGTGGCAAAAGAAATGTGGTATAGGAGGCAAAGTAATGAACTACCCACTAAATAGTATAAACTTTAGGCAACGCATCCAACTTCTCTGGACCTCCATTGTTTATCTGCAAAATGAATATATTAAGGAAGACAACATCTATTCTACCTTCCACTGAGATGCTATCATTCAAATAAAATTATAACTTCCTATTGGGCCCATAGGAGCTCTGGTAGCATAAGGCACTTGCTCTAAGGTATTTGACTGCTAACCAGAAGGCTGGTGGTTCAAACCCACCAGCCACTCCTCGGGAGGAAGGTTGGGCAATCCTACCTCTGTAGTGATACAGCCTCGGAAACTCAAGGAGGGGTCGCTATGAGTCGGGGCCGACTCGACGGCACGTAAGAACAAGAACATTGGGCCCATGGTTCCTAAACTTTGCACCCAAGCACCCCATGGCACCACAATGAACTCACAGAGGAACCACAGTACATTTTAAATTTTTGAAAGGAAATATAGTGACCATCTGTCAGATACATTATAAACTACTTCAATTAAGTTATTTGGGCTTAACCACTTAGTAAACAGAACTGTTAGGTACTTCTTTTGATCTGCTGGCACAATGGAGACTTGACTTAGACACTAAGGGCACTGTAAATCAAGAAAGTTTATCTGGTTCTGAGCTTCTCAAAGGCAAGGGTCATATATTATTTATCTCTCTGTGTCTGTTCTCCTCATGAATAACAACAACAACAAAAAAAAAGTGGTGGCATAGTGCCTAAGGCACTTGACTGCTAACCAAAAGGCTGGTGGTTCAAACCTACCAGCCACTTCTCAGAAGGAAGGTTGGGCAATCTACTTCTGTAGAGATACGGCCTCAGAAACCCAAAGAGGGGTCACTATGAGTTGGATCCAACTCCATGCCAGTGAGTTTGGTTTGGTTTTTTGAAGTGGATCATGTGGAATTTGCTCTTCATTCTGTTAAAGTGGTGTATTACATTGATTGGTTTTCTTATGTTAAACTACCATTCCTGGGATCAATCCCACTTGATCATGGTGAATAATCCTTTTAATATGCTGTTGAATTCTCTCCCCTAGTATTTCATCAAGATTTTTACATTGATATTCATAAAGGATATTGGTCTGTAATTTTCTTTCTTGTGACGCCTTTATCTGACTTCATCCACTGCTATCGAGTTGATTCCGACTCATGGAACCCCCACTGGGTTTCCAAGGCAGTAAATCTTTAGGGAAGTAGACTGCCCCATTTTCCTTCTGTGGAGCAGCTGGTGGGTTTGAACCATCAACCTTCTGGTTAGCAGTCAAATGCCTTAGGCATATCTGACATTAGTATCAGAGTAATGCTGGTGTCATAGAATGAGTTAAGAAGTAGTCCCTCTTCTTTCATTATTAGGAAGAGTTTCAGGATTGCTATTACTCCTATTTAAATGTTTTGTAGAATTCAGCAGTGAAACCATCTAGTCCTGTACCTTTCTTTGTTGGGAAGTTTGTCATTACTGACTCATTATCTTCACTTGATAAAGGGTGATTTACTTTTTAAAATACTCACAAGCATATCCTTGCAGCCCTCTATCATGCCCTTTCTATCACCACTTTTAAGTCACTGAAACTTGCTACACAGTGAAAAGGACAACTTCTAACACTGAATTTTACTCCCATCTTCCTGAGTCTTGGTCTATGTAATTTATTAGCATAAATAGACTGAGAACACAAAATTCTCCCTTCTCTTTTCCCCCATCCACTTGCAATGAGAAATAAAACGAAAACCAGGCTGCATCTTACTCGTGGAGTCCTCTTCCTTGGCAACGTGAGATTGAGATAATTATTAGAAATGGATGATTTGGCCAAGCTGAGGTCAGTATTTTCTCCATAGTATTTGCCCCAAGAATCTGTCAAGAAATAAGAGTACAACTGAGATTTGGGATCCTGACACTGCTACCTCAGGGCCCAAGGGGTATCACTGTGACAAGACAAGGTTCTTCCAGAATGAATCTCTCACCTCAAACTAAAACGTAAATGGCCCAGGTAGGGGGGCTATTGCAGCTCTACTGGTGACCTACCAGTGAAAGGAGCAGATGGTTGGTCCCATGTGGCATCTACCATACAGACCTACTTACACTCCCAGGGTCTAGGTGAGTAGGGTTTGCTAGGTTTGGCTTCAAAGTCAGGGGGAAGGCATCAGTCATTCCAGGACAGAGGACCCCAGTGTTAAGAGTAACCAGACTCTGGCACAAGGGCAGAGATGGCTCAAAAGGCTGAGCAGAGCCTCTACCAAGGTCCTTACCCACAGTCCTCAGCGGGGTGCCCCGGAAGAGCTCGTAGAACTTGGAGAGGTACATGACTATGCTGAGCTTGTCAGGCTCCTGACCTGACGCCATCTCTTTGCCAGTGGTCACGGGGGGGATCCCAAATTCACGCTCAGCCACATCGAATGCCAGCTGGTTGTTCCTTACAGCATCATCTTCATTCAAAGAGTCAAAGTTGCTAGAGAGTCAAAACAAAGTGGAGAAGTTCAGGGAGAGGAGGCAGAGGTGTGAAGAGCTGAGCATATTTAGCCTGTAAGGAGTACTGCTGGGAGGCACTGTGCCGGGTGGGGGCAGGGCAAAGGAGCAAAGGAGTGACCCCAGGCCCAGTCCCTAGTCCAGCCCCTCAGAGGCAGCTTAGCCAGGAGAAGATGCTAACCCTGCCTTCATTCAGATCAGGGCCCAATTAGACTTGGGCCATGATGCTACCATTGCTGCCTGGGCTGAAACGATCAGAAAGCGATTGAATCCTCTTTGGAAAATTTATGAGCTACTTTATCTTTAAATACTTCCCCTGTTGTTTTTAATTGCAAAAGTAACATGGGCTTCTCATAAAAACAAAAAACAGCAATCAACCTATGTAGCATATAAAATAAAAAGTGAGAGTTCCATTCCCTCATGAAGGTAAGCTCAGTTCACCACAGTACTGACTGATAACCCCTGGGTGGTTTTCTCCCAGCCTTTTTTGATGAATTTATAAAATGTGATGCTATACTGCTATTGATTTAAATAGAACATCAATTGATGTATCACGCTTTGGACATCATAAAGTATTTCTACAAATGTAATCCAATCTTCCAAAACATCCAATTTACAGATGAAGAAACTAAAACTTACCAAAGATAGGTGCTTGTCCAATGGCACATAGCCAATGGATCTGAGTCCCAAATCTAACTCTTCTCTGACTGTAAAAACCTTCAAACCAGTTCCAAGAAGTAGGTCTTGCCCATAGTTCCTCTCTCAAGGGTGTGAATGCTCAAATTTCCTGTGTGGCAATGAGGTTGGGGATGGGATAGGAACAATCACTGAGCCTAAGCTACTTCCACTCCTCATAAATTAGGCACACCGATTAAACATCTTGTTGACAGAGCAATCAGTGCAATGGGAAAAGTATAAATTTAGGAAAAAGCTCAAACTATGCAAAGAGAAATATTGCATAAAGTCCTGAAGATTCTGAATCTAGCCCTGGTACCGTTGTCTCCAGGGTCTCCTGGGGCTATGAGGGGTGTGATAGATCCAGCTAGGGTCCCAGACTCACATAAGCTCAGGCCGGAAGCGGTGGATGATGGCACAAAGGGCCAGGCCGCTGCGCCAGGATGTGGTCAGGTCAGTGATGTTGACGTGCTGGTAGCCCTCAGTCTGCTGCTGGCACCAGGTTAAGAGCTTGCTGGGCCGGATGTCTGACTCTGCAGCAGGGTAGTACAGAGAGTAGTGAAGTGCTCTGGTGGGATTTCTAATAGCTCACCCCGGGGACCCTTTCTGATGGGCATGATGGATGGGGACTAGGAGAAATGGCACCCAGGCAAGGGGGCCAGTGTCAGGGGGCATCCAGCATGTATGCATTCCACTGAGGACAGCTCCCTGGGTGCCCTGTCATGAATATGGCAGGACAGCAGGATACTGGGACAGGAAGTATGGTCTCCTCTAGCAAAGAGTCCCTAAGACCCACTCTGGCCAGATGATGTGACCTCTGCCAACATCACACTCCTCTAGTGGGAATGGCAGACACAGAGGCAGTTGACCATGATGGAGCGCAATGCGTGCTGCGTTAGAGGAAGAAACAGAAGCTCTGGGAGTCCATGATCAAGTTTGGACTGAGCAGGCCAGGGGAGGATAATTAGCCAAAGAAAACATTACAGAAGAAGTATACTGGTGCTGGCTCTTGCAGAGTAGGAATTCATCAGACAGAAGAAGGCATCCAGAAAAACAAAACAGAGTATGCAGTGGCAAAGAATCTAGCCTGCCATGTTTGTGTAGCAGTAAAACAGTCAATAATTACAGTGGCCGCAACGGAGCATGCGGTGTGTGTGGAGGGGAGGGAGAAGTGCATGGGAAAGCTGACGGTGACTGATGGAAGAGGATGGGAGGTCTGGGTAGGCAACAGGAAGCCAGACTGGTCTTTAAGCAGGAGGTGACCTGGCCAAAGCTGGATGTTAGGGAGTTTTTCATTTAATCCTTCCTTCATTTTTCCATTGAGCCTTGTACCCAGCCCTGTGCTAGGCCTAGGAAGATCGAGAAAAGAGTAAAATATATGGAGCTCATCATCTAGTAGGGAAGACAAAACCCCCCTCCCCCATAAAGAGAATGGAAAACAGAAACAAGTTCTAGTGAGATACAGTTGATCCTCACTATTTGTGGATTCCATATTTGTGAATTTGCCTACTTGCTAACACGTATTCATCAGATCAAGACTCACAATGTTTTTGCAGACATGTGCAGAGCAGTGAAAGATTTGAGTTGCCCTACATGCACAGTCCCAGCTGAACATGAACAAGGCTATCCTCTGCCATCTTATTTCAGCTCTCATACTGTAAACAGGTGTCCTTTTCATGGTATACTTTATGCCTCATTTTTCACCTTTTCCTCTTTTTATTGGTGATTTCACTGTTTAAAACAACCAACAAGCACAGTGTTGGAGTGTTGTCTAGTGTTCTTAAATGCAAGAAGGCTGTAATATACCTTATGGAGAAAATACATGTGTTAGATAAGCTTCCTTCAGGCATGATTTACAGTGCTATAGCCCTATGAGTATGAGTTCAATGTTAATGAGTCAACAATATATGCTAAAGAATGTGTCTTTAAACAGAAACACACATAAAACAAGGTTACATACTGATCAAACCAAAACTAAACCCACTTCCACCAGGTCTATTGTGACTCATAGCAACCTTAAAGAACAGAACAGAACTGTCCCATAGAGTTTCCAAGCTGTAAATCTTTATGGAAGTAGATTGCTGCATCTTTCTTCCACAGAGCAGCTGGTGAGTGTGAACCACAGACCTTTCGGTTAGAAGCTGAGAACTGTAAGCACTGTGCCTCCAGGTTTGCTATCAGTAGTGATCAGTTGATGAAAATTTTGTGATTAGAGGCTCACAGGAACCTAGCCCTGTATTTTCTCCAGGAGCAATGGTCTAGTACCTGCTAATACAGTGCTCATGGTGATTTCTAGACCATAACTACCACAAATAATGGAAATCAACTGTAATTCAATAGTTCACATCTACCGTGCTAAGTGCTTGACACATACTAACTCCTTTAATCTCTACAATGATTCCTCCAGTAGGTGTTGTCCTTATGCTCACTTGGTAGAGGAGGAAACTGAAGGACGAAGAGGAGAAGGGCCGACCCAAGGTCACATGGGTAATAGAGGCAGAGCCAGGCTTCAAAACCTCCACCACCACTGCCACTGAGCAGGCCTCCTCCCCACACAGCCCCTCCTAGGGACCCAGCCAAGCTCAGCAGAACTCTTCCCTGGACCAGGATGCCAGGAGGGCTGCTTACCCCGTCTGGAGAGGTTAACGGATCTTCTCACTGAGCCCAGCCTTTCAAGAGGGTAGCAGAGCTCCTTAGTGATGTACAAGTGCTTCACCTGCAAACAAGAGAGACCTCACACAGCTGCCCACCAGAAACAAGTCCCAGTGAAATACAGGTGATCCTCATTATTTATGGATTCCATATTTGTCTCCCCAAAGCATAGCTCAGGGTGGCTAGACTGCCCACCCCTACTCACACTGCCACCCTGGATAGAATGGCTTTCACAAGGCAACCCAGGCAATCTGAGACACAAAGCCATAGATCTTAACTATCTACCCAAATGCAGGGGAACTATTAACAAGTAAGTTCTAACTAAGGTGTGAATAGATGTAACAGGTGAATTTTAAACACCCACACCATTTTCTGTTCTGTTGATTGAAAAGACTGGGGGTTGTGTAGCTCTGAGACAAAGGGAGGAAGCAACAAACTCTGAGACTAGGTAGTAAAGAGGGAAGATTCTCGGTCAGGTGGATTTTTTGAGATAGATCTGTTGAGCAACACATATATGCAGTGATGAATAAACATGTGTAAATGCACATACATATATGTATATATACCCATATGCGCCATATGTCTTTACCATGGCTAGAAAGAATGCTGACTCTATTGGAGACCTGGGACTCTCTTGGAGAGAGGAATTGGCCCCACATTTGGACCAAGAGGCGTTGCTCGCATCAGTTCCAAGAACGTGCTCAGATTATATGTGACTCTTCCTTCCCATCACTCAGTTGAAGATAACCCAGACAGGGCTGCAGGGAGGGACTCACCTGATGGGGCCTGACACAGTGTGAGTTGAGGTTTGGGTACCGCGTCCCTGGGTCCAACGTGTACTGTTCAAAGTTCTTGTTGATGTTCTCCGGGGTGGTTTGAGGTAACAGCCGGTAAAGACTTTCTCTGGCGGGAGGCAGAGCTGAGAGGTCAGGGGTTTGCTCTTGCCACCTTAGGCCTTTGGCTCCTCCCCCTCCCCTCTTTCTGTGTGTTCAAGGGCTTCTTGCATGTGTTTGTATAAACTCTGCTCCTGCAGTGCCTGGCAATCAGGGTTTTTGAGATCTGCGAAGCGGGATGAGGGTCAAAGGGGCCAGAAAGAAGTGGGTGTCCAGTGGCAGTGATGCTGGTCCCCTCCTCTGAGCAAAGGGCGGGGACACAGACCTGGCAGCATGGTGACCTGGGGTTTTGCTGTAACCACCACTCAGCCATGCTACCTCCTTTGGCCTGTGCCCTATGACCACAGGCCTCCACACCCAAGACCATCAGAGGCCTGGATCCACCCTCTAGCCGCTGACTTCTCCCAAGTCCACCAGCTGCCAAAGCCACATGGTCAACAACAGGGGTCTGGGAATAAGTCCAGGATTCTCAGCAGTGGAAGCATCCAGGGAAATCACAGAACCCAACCTCAACCAGGGCAGACATTCAGCACTATCCTAAAGGACTCCCTCATATAAACCTTTGCTGGCCTTTGTGGAACCAAGCAGTGCTGGGGAGCTCTAGCTTTGGGGCCATGCCCAGATGCAAATTTCTCTCTGAAATTCAGTGTATAAGTTCCTGACCATCTCTGGGTAGTGCAAATGGTTAATGCACTTGGCTACTGACCAAAAGGGTGAAGGTTCAAGCCTACCCAGAAGTGCTTAAGAAGAAAAGGCCTGGTAATCTACTTCTGAAAAGTCATCCATTGAAGGTCCTACAGAGCACAGCTCTACTGTCACACACGGGGTAACCATGAGTCAGAGTCAACTCAATTGCAACTATTTTTTATTTTTATTTTTTAAAAAGTCATGTTCGCCAAAGAAAGTCACTGAAGAAGGGGGATCATGATGGAGTAAGTTTCCTTTGAAACCTTGAAAAAGAAATCAGGCCATGTGTGAGAAGGCAGACCAGAGAAGGTTGAAGGCTCCAGGTAGCCACAGAAGTCACCTAGAGCTGGTTTTGATCCCTCTCCTGCCTGAGCTTTTGGCTTGGCCCTGCCCCCAGCTGGGAACTGAAATACTAATACTCACCTTTCAGCCAGCAGCTCCAGGGGAGGAGTTCCCTGGTCCCAGCTCTTCACCATCCATGCCGTGTCAAAGGCTGCCAGGAAGCCACGAGCACAGCCTGTGCCCATGGGCCAAAAGGGCTGCAAAAGGACACATGCACGATTCCAGTTGATTACCATGACGCCCAGCTTGCTAGATCCCATTTTATCCAGCACTCACTGATTGCCAGCCTTGTGCCAAGCAGTGAAGGGATAAAGAGGTGACAGGGCAGGGCCCCTGCTGCTCACAAGAGCCACCAAACACAAATAGCTGTAGCACAAAGTCAAATGTAAAGGGTGCAATGACTCAGGTACAGCAAAACTGCTTTAGGGCTCAGAAAAGGTAGAGAGAAATTCCCACGTTGGAGGAGAGAGATGGAAGTCAGGAATGCTTCATAAAAAAGTTGCATTTTTATGATTTTAAAGAATGGACAGGATTCACACAGGTCTCTCAAGCCATTCAGGAATAACATGGTAAAGGCCTTGTAGCTGGGAAATTATGAAGCCTGATGGAAGAACAGTTGTTCTAGTTTAGGTGTCACGCAGAGTACCTATGTACTGAGAGATAAATCTGGTAAGGGGAGATTGGGGCAGAAGCAGGATGGGTATTGCGTGTTTAGCTAGAGAGCTTGGGTTAGAGTATGGACTCAATGGTAAGTAAGGACTAATTCTAACAAGTAAGTTCTAACTAAGTTTCTGGGTGATGCAAAAAGTTAATACACTTGGCTTCTAACTGAAAGGTTAGAGGTTAAAGTCCACCCAGAGGTGCCTTGGAAGAAATGCTTGGTGATCTACTTCCAAAAACCCAGCCACTGAAAGCCCTATGGAGCACAGGTCTACTTTGACACATACGGGGTCGTCATGAGTCAGAACCAACACAATGGCAACTGTATTGGTTAAGTTCTAACTAACCTGTTCCATGAGAGCCCAAAGCATGGTTTGGAATTTGACTCTTAACTTGGGATACATACACATTTTTTGGTGGGACCTTACATTAAAGATCAAAATGTATCCCTTCTAAAAACATTCACTTTAATCTAAGAATCTTGCACATGCAGATTTTCTGGGGAGAATTTGAACAAAGATGCCATGGATGGAAACTAGGCTTTGAGGTCCACACACTGTTCTTGCATCCCCTCTGTTCTCTACATTGAATGGCCGCCCCCATAAGGAAGAGAGTCTTGGTCTTGCTGAGGTTCTACATACTTTCAGAAGGATGGCCCATGTGGTCCAGACCAAGGCTGCCTCGATTTTGTACTTCAACAAAGAGGTCCACTGAGAAGAACCCAGAGATGGAAGAGAAAGCTCTCTTGCCTATAGACATGCAGATCTGGCTCCTCTGAATTTAATGAAAGGTCAGGCTCCAACACCAGGACAGGTATCCTGTCAACTGGCTGACAGCCTCTGAGCTTGTCCTTCCCCCCACTTCATGACATCAGATACTGCCAGCTAGGACATAAATATAGGGATCTGCCTTACAGCAAGAGTTTAGGGGCTCCAAATGTAGGTGGTACCTCTAGTAAGCTGTCGCCCACAAGGGCCACAAGAAGCTGATGTGCCTGCCGCTCGCGCACCAGGGCTGCATTCTCTGAGGCATACATGGAGGTGAAGTCAAACATGGCCACATCAGGCTGCCCGTAGTGGTTCATGGCAAAGTCTAAAGATGGCAGCTGGTAATTGGTGGCAAAGTCTGCAGCTTCTCGGGCATAGGCGAGCAGGTTATCCTGGTTCACATTCTCCGTACACAGTAGCATCTCAGTGTCAATGTAGTCCTGGGGAAGAGCAAGGACACACTGAAACAAGGACTAGAAGCCACACATCCCTTGCCCCTCCAAAGGATAAGTATTTGTTATGGATTGAGTCCTCCCAAAAGATATGTGATTTTGACCTTGTTTGGAAATAGGGTCTTTGAAGATGTTATCAGTTGTGTTAACATGAGGTCAGTCTGAAGTAGAGTGGGTCCTAATCCAAGACAAGTGGTGTCCTTGTAAAAGGGAAGACACATAGACACACAGGGAAGACAGCCATGTGATGACAAGGCAGAGATTGGAGTGATGGGTCTACAAGTCAAGGAATGCCAAGGATTGCTGTTCATCACTAGAAGCTAAGAGGGAGGCATGGAATGGTTTCTCCCTCAGAGATCTCAGAGGATTAAACATGGCTGACAACCTGATTTTTACTCCTAGCCTCCTGTAAGACATTAATGTCTGTTCTTATAAGCCATCCAGTTTGTGCTACTTTGTTCCAGCAGTCCTGGGAAATTAATTCCATATTCATACTCGCTTCTCTGCAAAGGGATTTGATACGGGTTTTCATGAAGGGCATTTACACAGTGAGGCTAATGAACACAGAAATAGAATATCAGGACGAAGGGAATAAAGATGAAATATATCTGTTAGTCATGAGGTTAACACAGTTGTGATTAAGCATCAGATTTGGCTTTCACCTTCTTGGCATCCAAGGCAAAAGGGAAATGTAATATGTTACAGGGCTCTCCTTTATCAGAAAGAAGGAAGCATAGAAATTCCTCAGGGGATGCAATTTTTCCTGGCACTAAATTCTAAAAGGACTGCATCACGTAGGAATGTCTATAGAGAACATTAAATATAATGAACATTGTACGTGATAATGGTCTTGTAGCAAACACAGAAGCACATTTTATATCAATAGTTTCCATAATAACTTTCAGTAAAACTAAAAGATAAAAGAGCAAGTCAGTAAGTGTGATTTTATAATAAATTGAGCTAAGCTAATACAGTCCAGGAGCTCTGGTAGCACAGTGGCTAAAGCACTTGACTGCTAACCAGAAGGCTGGCGGTTCAAACCCACCAGCCACTCCTCGGAAGGAAGGTTGGGCAATCCTACTTCCGTAGTGATACTGCCTCGGAAACCCAAGGAGGGGTCGCTATGAGTCGGGGCCGACTCGACAGCACATAACAACAACAACAACAATATAGTCCAAGTATGTTGTGCTTAGAAAATGGGTTCACGGCATAAACTGTGAAGTTTCTCTCCAAAACCAGTTACCTTTTCTCTCAATGGGTTAAGGATGGCTCAGCACTTGGCTTTGCTCTTAGAGTGTTAATTGTTATACTTTCCTGCTGGCGATTATGAACCCTGAATTTAAAGGACTATGCTATACATTCTGGAGCACACTAGCAATGAACCGCTGGATGTTAGGGCTTGAGAAAGCAAGACAGTTTAGAGTATTCCCAGAATCTATCTGCTCATCCTGAGGCAAACAAAACCATATACGTCAAAAGATCATCTTTCCCGGAATCAGTGCAGGAGATCCTGGATAGAGTGGGAGAACAATGTGAAACAAAACTCAAATTCATTTAAAAAAAAAAAAAGACTAGGTTTACTGGTCTGATAGAAGCTGGTGAGACCGCTGAGACTATGGCTCCTAGTTACCCTTCAGGTCTGGGATTGAACTCACTCCCCCGGCTTCCAGCCAAACAACAGACAGACACATAGAGTGAACATTAACATCAGGTAGGTATACTCCTTACAACAATCAATTATGGGAGAACAGAAGGACAGTATTTGCACAGGGAGAGAGCTCTGGGGCAGGAATGCATAGGAAAGGAGGACATGGGAAGAGGTAACCACAGGGAGTAAGTGGGAAAAGAGCTATTACACTGTGGGGAATTGCAATCAATGTCATGAAACAAAATCCGTATGAACCACTGTATGGAAAATGAATTTGCTCTGTAAACTTTCACCCAAATCACAGTAAAAATAAAAAAAAAAAAAATCATCTTTCCCATAGGTGACACACACACACAAAAATATATATATATACATATACATATACATACATACATACATACATACATACATACATACACACACTAGGAGGGGACTGGGGAGTATACTGTGTAAGGTGAACACGGACTTTGGGGTCAGCAAAAGCAAGAGGTCAAATTACACCTCTGTTGTTTATTAGCTGGGTACATTTCGGTAAGTTATGTAACTTTTCCAAGCTTCTGTTTTCTCATTTCTAAATGAGAATAACAAAATCTGGTTCACAGAGTTGTGAGGATCTAATTTCCAGCCCTGTGCCGGGCACGTTGGGTGCTGTGCAGTCAATCCTGACTCACAGCAGCCCCATGTGACAGAGTACAATGTCCCATAGGGTTTTCTTGGCTGTAACCTTATGGTAGTAGATCACTAGATCTTTCTGTGGTGGAGCCACTGGGTGGGTTAGAACCATTACATTTTCGGTTAGAAGTTGAGTGATTAGCATCTGACCGTTATACCACCAAAAACCCAAACTCACTGCCACTGAGTTGATTCTGACTCATTGTGACCCTCTTTAGGTTCCCGAGGCACAAGCAGATTGCCCAGTCTTCCTTCTGTGGAATGGCTGGTGGGTTTGAACCATCAATCTTCTGGTTAGCAGTCAAATGCCTTAGGCACTGAGCCACCAGAGCTCCTTATTATACCACCAGGGCTCCTCTATTCCTGGTACATGGCAGACACTTAATGAATGGAAATTCCTGTTCCCTAGAATTTGTGATGACACAAAATGTGGCACAGGGTGAAAAACATCCTGGTGCAAGAGCGTGCATAAAGGTCTGAGAAGGCACAGCTTCATCGATAACCAGACTGGCCTTATGACTCAATTTTCTAAACAGCCATACCATCAAATACCTTGTCCCAGAAATTCTATCATTTCCATGTCCAAACCACATCACCCAAACTGCACCCAGTACTGGCTCAAGAGTCCTTTGTCAGGTCACTGTATCGAGGTTGGCGTTCCTGTTACTTATCATCTTTTCTCACATTTGTTCCTATAGTCACACGATCACTTCTCCCATTTGGAAATGTGAAGATGAGATGGGAAAAAATGAATAGAAAGCAAATTATCCCCACCCACCTGTGTCCCAGCAGAGCACCTGACACAAGCGTGTAGAAGGCCTTTGACAACTGCTGAGGGAAATGAGTTAACATAGCAGGACTAAAATTTCTTATCCTTGAAAAGAACCACTTGCAAGAACGGCCCTTGGATATGGGAAGAAATTTTGTCGGTTACCAGGGGTGGGAGGGGAGGGGAGGAAACACTGCAAAAATAATTTTAAAAATTAAAAAAAAAAACCAAAAACCTTTGCAACACTTGCCCAAGCAAGGCAGGGGTCCAGACCAAGAGTATGGCAACAGCAGCTGCGAAGAAGCTGCCCTAATTGAAGAACTATATCCTGAGTTGTTCTTGTTACCTCCAAGTTGATCCTGATCCTGAATTGTAAACTGTTAAGCTTCCTAATAAACTCCATTGTGTGTGTGTGTGTATGTGGGAGGGATGGCCCTTGGATGGTGTCTGGGAACTTGGATATCAAAAGGGTTCCCACCAGTAACTTATAAGAGTGGCTCACTGTGCCCTAACGGTTTGTACAAGCAATGTGGATTATGCTGAACACCTATTTTCCTTTTAGAAGTCTGGGGTTTTGGTATGTGCTAGGTAGAGGGTGTCTACATGATTAGCCTCCAATAAAAACCTTGAACATTGAATCTTTAATGAGCTTGCTCCTCTGGTAGACAACATTTCACATGTATTATCTCAACTCCTTTCTGGGGGAATTAAGCATGTCCTATATGATTCCACTGGGACAAAATGCTTGGAAGTTTGTGTCTTGTTTCCCCAGACTTTGCCCCATGCACCTTTTCCCTGTGATGATTGAGCTTGGCATCCTTTCACTGTACTAAGTCATAGCCATGAATACAACTATATGCTGTATCCTGTTAAGTCCTATTAGTGAATCACAGAACCTGAGGTTGGTCTTGGGGACTTACTGACATACAATGGGATCAAGTCACCATGAGCAGCATGTTGTTCCCTGGCATGCCCCCAAGGGAATCTTAGTGTCCTAGGAGGCCAAAGTAATTATCAAGTTAAACATGCAGGGAACTTCTGCAGAAATACAAGTCAAACTTCATCTGACTCCCCTGGAATGGCTAACCAAAGCCTTCCCAACCCCTCCTCTGCAAAGGTGCCCACTGCACCTGCACTCCCAAGCCAGAGTGGTTCTTCACTATCTGACACTGGTATCCCTAGACTGAGGAGCAACTTTGGGAGGAGCGCCTATGGAGCAGACAGACAAAGAGCATGCCGCCTCCTGCAAATGACCAGGTCAGTCGGGGGGGGGGGGCTCCAGATGTTGAAGCTCATCGCCCACACATCTGCTGGCTGTCCTCCAGCCCGTGTGCAACTCCCCACAGAGTACCTCAGGCTCTTAGCAAAGACCTGAGCAATGTGGAGGAGACCCAGGGGAAGGCTAGGTTACTAATGCCGCCCAGCCGGCTGCCAGCACAAGCTGGCGAGAGGACAGACACATTCTTCTCTGACAAGCAGCAATGAATGGTCACCGTGCTGCCCAGGCTACAGGCTGATACCCAGAGATTAGCTGACCTCAGACTGTGCACGATCCTTATCTAGAGGCAGCAGCAGCAGGAGTGGCAGGAATGAGGACTCTGGAAAGGCTGAAAACCCGACCAAAGGAGCTCCCAGCCCAGGAACCACTGCTCCACGTGCTGCTTCTGCCAACCCTGTTCTCCGGTTAAGCACGCAGATGCAGAGGCATGAAGCACAGGCACTGGAGCCCCGGAAGGCAGAGGACAAACAAGCAGGTGGCCACACAAGGCAGAGAAGCTGAAGTCAATCTGTAAACATGCCCTGTGCCAGGCACTGAAACAGGTGCTCTGCATACATCTTTCAAAAATTATTTACTCTTCCCAACCACTCTTAGACAGAAACTACTATTTCTATTTTGCTGAGGAGACTGAGGTTCAGAAAAGTTTAGTGGCTTACCCATGGTCCTGAGTTAGCATGTGGCAGAGCCAAGATTCAACTTGAGTCTTTTTGACTGCAAGATTAGTGAGCTTGGCACCATATTGTGACAAGGGACCCACAGACAGAAAGCATCTCTATGTCCCACTATGATAAAAAGATCCCATTTATCTCCAAATGATGGGTCAATTCTCAGAAAACAGGGCAGGGCTGAATGAGATTGGGGAAGTAGAAAATTCAGCCAATCTTTTGGGTTGGGGTATACACAAATACCTGGGTAAAGGTCTCACACTCCCTGACAGCTCTCGGTGGAAATAGTTCTTTGTGTGTTAGTGCACGTAACTTTATCCAAGCACTACTGCAATGGTGGTGCAAAAAGTTAACATGTTTGACTTCTAAGCAAAAGGGTGGAGGATCGAGTCCACCTCAGAAGAAAAGTCTGGTGATCAACTTCCACAAAACAACCCTTGAAAACTCTGCTGCACACAATTCTACTCTGGTACACATGCGGTCTCCCTGAGTCAGGGGGAACGCAACAGGAACTGGTATCGTACTGGTGCTGCAACGGCAAGGGAAAGAAGGTGTTGAGCAGGTGGTCCCTTCTCCCCTCTTCTCCTTGCTCAGTATCTGACAGGACAATGACTGCCTCCACACTTGCTGATGCTGCTTGCCCAAGTCACAAAGGGGAAGATGTTTAGGAAGTTGCAGCCAAAGAGATACGTACATTAATGATGACGCCCTTGTCAAGCAGGCTCTGCTTCTTAGCTGTCATGACAAAATAGTGGGTGCAGTCCTTGTAGTAAACAATGTTCTCAAGATCAATCCCTGAAAAGAGAACAGTAATAGACTCATTATTATTTTTGAGCACCAACTTGTGCTGGGATCTGTGCTTTGCCTTGTTACAGGTCTCACTGTGTACTGTAGCATATTCATATTAGACAGGCCTTTAAGACACACAGGGCTGGAATAGATAAAATAGAGGGCCAGAATTTACCCAAGTCACCACAGCTGGCTTTTACAGTCCTGCAAAGACATTATTTCCTTTAAAACTCACAAAGTCCTTAGAGAGAGAGTATTTCCAAATTAGAGTTAAGTGCCACCAAAAGGAAAAGTGCCATGATCTATGGTTACAGCAGCCAGGAAATAACAGAGCTAGGACATAAACACAAGTCTGTCTGACTTCAAGTCCAGTCCACAGTGTTGCCATAGCTGACCAGTGCTGTGTGAATTCGCTAAGACTACGCTACAGATTAGGAGCTCCAGTAGCATAGTGTCTAAGGCACTTGACTGCTAACCAGAAGGCTGGTGGTTCAAACCTACCAGCCACTCCTTGGAAGGAAGGTTGGGCAATCTACTTCTGGAGTGATACTGCCTCGGAAACCCAAAGAGGGGTCGCTATGAGTCAGGGCCGACTCAAAGGCACATAACAACAACAACAACATGCTACAGATTAGATGGATTGACACAGTGGCTACAACGATGGGTTGAGGCATAGCGTTTCATTCTGTTGTACACAGAATTGCTGTGACTCAGAGCAGACTCCTCACCTGGCACCTAACAACAACAAATGCTACAGATGTTTCTATTTTCCTGCTTGTGCAAAAACCCAGGTGCAGTGGTAAGAACAACTTTGGCTACAGGACCGGGTTGTATCTTTTTGCACTTTGTACCAATCACAGAATGCTGGGTTTCTGCATTTGAAACGATGCTGTGAGACGACTGCTTAGCTCAGTGGTTCTCCATTTGCTCCAAGCATGTGGAGTAGCTCGGTGGCTCTCAAAGTGTGATCCCTGGCAAGCAGCATCAGCATCACCAGGGAACTTACTAGAAATGCAAATGATCAGGAACTATGGGGGTAGGGCCAGCAATCTGTTTTAACAAAACCTGCAGATGACTCTCAATCCCTGCTCTCTCTCTCTCTCTCTCTCCTTTGAAGGGCGAGAAAGGAACAGAAGGGAGAGAAAGAAGCAACCTATCAGCAGTCAACACAGAGGCTTGCTGGGTAACCATAGGAACCCCTTTATTACCACTAAATAGGAAACGGCCATCAATGCATAGCCCCCCCCCCCAAGAGAATAAGAGCACATTCATCACTGTCACTGTGTAAGGAACACTGTTGTGAAACAGCGCCGATGGTGACAACCACAGCAAAGTTTAACGGAAGTTCATTGAAACAACTGGAAAAACACAGTCAATCTTCTGTTGTAATTTATTCATTTGGTGGTTTATTTAAATATTTATTTTCTTGGTGTTTGAAGGGGAGGAAGGGTTGGAGAATTCTTAAATCATTCCAAAGGAAATAATACGATGGAAGGAAGTATTAAAACTTTTTATAAGATAATGCAACTGGGATGAAACTCAAGAGATCCCAACATAGACACCACCCTTAAGAGAATAAGATATTTATGCCCAGCAAGAGAGAGGCACAGAGCCAGTCTTAGAAAAATATCTTAAAGAATAATTCAGCAGAAGTAGTTTTATCTATAATAGCACATAACTGGCAGGATTAAATCAGGAATCAACAAACTTTTTTTCTGTAAAGGGTCAGAGAGCAAATATTTCTGTCTTCGTGAATCACATGGTCCCTGTTGCAGCTACCACTGTCAGTGGAAGCAGTCTCAGACAATATGTAAACAAACGAGAGTGGCTGTGTTCCAATAAAACTTTATTTATGGACATTGAAAAGTGAATTTCATATAATTTTCATGTGTACAAAATATTATTCTTTTTTCTTCAGCCACTAGACAATATAATATCCTTTGCCTGAAGGCAAAAAAAAATATGAAGCCAGCTTTAGTTTGCCAACCCCTACTTTACATGCTGAGGCAATAATAGTACATTTAGCTATTGAGATATTCTGCAGCCCCCCAAAACGATTATCAGGAAGACTATGCTCCAACATGGACAATATTTTAAATGAGATGACTGAGAAAAGCAGAATAACAATGGTAAATGGCACTGTGACTAGAGCCATGTATAAGGTAAGGATGTAGGTAGAAAACTCCTGAAAAGACATATATGAAAGGGAAAACTATTTCTACACTAGGCGATCAGAGAGTAGAGCATTTCTTTTTAATGTAATGATTTTATGTTACACTGCCTTTTCAAGGAGAAATATATGTATTTTAAATCAGGTTCAAAAGAAAGAGAAAAATATCTGGAATTTATTTCATGGATCAGGTAAACAGGCCTCCCATAACTCTCTTAACTCCTCACCTTGCTTTACTTTTCTCTAACCATCCTTAGCATCACTTGACTTGTTATGATTTACTTATTTATTGACTATCCCCTCTCAGAGAATATAAACTCCAAGAGAAAGGGATTTTGTTTATTTTGTTTACTGCTTTATCTTAGGATCTCAAATAGTATCTGGCACATAGTAGTCATTCAATAAATAGTTGTTAAGTAAATGAATGAACACTTTATTTCCTCTTTGTCCATGGCTGGTGACAACTAACGCCATTGAGTTTCATGCTCCCTGGGCATCCCCCATAAGAAGGGCAGATGATACACTGTACAAAAGCACCTAGGCATCTTTAAGCACCACCCACAGGTTACTGGCTGCTCCTCAGAGCACTTCCTGCATCTCATGCTGATCTCTGCATAGCACAGCCCCTCTGCGTTAGAATGGTTTGCGTGGCTAACCCTCACTGAACTCCACCTCAAGAGTGTACTGTGTCAACTATGACTTTATTTCCCATGATAGCGAGTCCTGGCACAGAGTGGGCACTCAGTAAATGTCCACTGAGTAAACTAATGTTTATTTATCTTCACGTACAACATCCAGAACTTTCCCTCAAGAATCTCTCTTGCCCCTGAAAAGACTCTGCCCGTTTATTATTCTAAGGAGAAATCTCTGCCACTTTGTCAGATTGAGTCTCTCTAGTCCCAGACCTCAGAAAGCCAGCATGTTCCTCTGTCCACTTTAGGAACTGCAAACAATGGCCTGGTTTGAGAAAGGTGAAGGTCCCACCTGTTTCTTCTTTGAGGTCCTGAAAGAATTTCTGATTGAAGATGAAAGCCACACCGCTAATCTCTTCCACCTTGGCCTCAGCTGTGCTGTTTCTGTTTATGAAGTTGGCAGTGATTGCAATAGCCAGCTTCCCACGGAATTCTTTTCTTCTGAACCCTGCAGGAAGTGAAAGGAAAAAGTGGGTCTTTCTTCTGGATTTGGTGTGGAAACTGCAAAAGATGACGGTGCATGCTCTTCCCAAGTGCCCCCCATACCAGCGAAGTCAGAATTCTGCATCTGTGGGGAACCAGGGCAGGCAGAGACACCAAGGTTTGTGTCCAAGGAAGAACGTGGCATTGAAGTCTATTCTGAAGTCAAAAGGACTTTGTCTTTTCTAAAATTTTCAGGACCAATAACTTGGTTAGATTCAACAAACAAAAGGCTAATGCTATCTTCTCCAACAGGCAATAAGAGAGCTTGTCCTTTTAAAGACCTGTTAGGTATTGTTATTAAATATACTCATGAAGGGTCCACACACACTTTGAACTTACATAATTAAAATGACTTGATTTTGCATTTTTCACAGATTTTTTTTTTCTTTAGAAAAGTAAGATTATTACTTCTTATACTAATTATTGTTGCTGCAGGACAGGGATTTTAACAAATTTTCTTTGTCTCTCCAATTCTCAATGATCAGCACTTTGTACACACCTAATAAACCCACAATGAATAACGTGCAATTAATTAATTTAGTACTTTCGTGTCTACGGGTTCACACAGCTTTCAACAGCTTACATTAAACCTTTTTAAATGGTGGTCACACAGAGAATCACAAACAAGTGATCACATTTCAGGGGAGCTCTTTTCCTCCTCCTGCCTTATCTTTATAATACCTGACTATTCCTGTATTCCTAAATTTCCTCTCTGTCCCAGATACTGCTGTTCACTTTGCATAGCTCTGGCATTCATCATAAGCACAGACATAACATTTTTCTTCAGCCATCTTTGGGAATTCCCCTCACCATGTACTCAAGCCTCATGCTGATTCCCAGGCTTCTTTGTCAAAAATTTCTTTGACTGAAAACCCTGGGCTTCTATTCAATTACCAATCCTTTAAGTCATCATTCATTAGATCTTTTTACAAAATGGCCAGAAATGGCCATGATTATCTAGCCCAGTGATTCTCAACTGAGTGTGATTTTGTCTCCCAGGGGACATTTGGCAACATATGGAGACAATTTTGGTTGTCACAACTGGGAAATAGGGTGCTTCTGGTGGGTAGAGGTCAGAGATACTACTAAACATCCTATAATGCACAGGACAGCCCCCATGACAAAGAATTAATCTAGCCCCCAATGTCAATAGTGCCAAGGTAGAAAAACCCTGGTCTAGTCTACCAACTTTGTCCCAAGGAGCTCAAATGACTCTTCTCCTTCATACCCTTTCTTCTTTCCATGCTCATATATACAGAACCACACTCCAGCTGACTGTGGATTCTAGATTTTCAAATATTTGAACTTACAGTCCTACCAAATCACGAAAATGTACCATAAATTCTAAGAGTACAATACCCAGGTTGGTAGCTTAAACATTCTTTGCTAGAAATTGGTTACTTATTGGGGGCATGATGTGGAAGTGAAGAGAGAGGAAAGGAAGTAGGAAAACAGCACTGGCTACATGGCAGATAAGGGTCTCAGCTAGGCAGAGAACTTTCTAAGACAGGCTTCATTTCAGGAACTATGTTCTGTCCTCAGAAGAGGTGCCCTCCCGGCCAGACACTTGAGCAGAGCAAACTCAAACAGCAGAACTGTCCCTAGTCTAAGAGATGCTTGTTGAGGCCACTATATCCACAGTCACTGATCTCAAATTAGTACAGGCACAACCTGTGCAAAAATTAATCTCAGGGCTGGAGTAGAGGTGATTAAAGCTATTTCCTGGTAGAGGGATTTCTTCTCAACCTAATTGGATTTTACCCCAAGAAAGGATATTCTGCCTCAAGCTTTAGAACACGTGGAAAGATAGATTTGCACTTCAGTAGTTTGGGAAAAACTTATCTTACTGCCCAGCAGTGAGTGTGCTTAAAAATTCTGAAAAGAGATGAGAAAACTATACTTAAAAGTAAGCTAATACTTTTAATAATGTTTTTTTTAAAAAAAATTCATCTTAAGTAAGCATGAAAATTCATAACACCATGGCTTGCACATAAGCAGATGCTCAATAAATGTACAGTTAATTTTTTATCTTTTAACTTATATGACACTTTGTAAAGTATTTTTACATATTAATTGTTTCCTGGTCTTCATACAATGCTTTGAGTGGGTTCTATTATCCACATTTTGCAGGTGGGAAAACCAAAGTTCAGAGTGAATTAAATGACTATCCTTGAAACACTCAATCTCATAGGAACATGGGGCACATGCTGCCTCAGCACAGCAGGACAGTCTCCCCTTCCATCCAGAACCCACCCAGCTTTGGCACCTGCCCTCCTGCCCATCCTTCCCAGCTTTCTCCCTTGATGGCCCTCTCCCACCTCTACCCATTCTCCCACCCTGTTGTCCCAAGAAGATTTTCACCTTCCAGAGTGTTCCTGCGGCCATCAGCGCCAATGATGACGTCAAATTCAAACTCCGACAGAGAGTGGTCTGCAGGGAGAAATTCTGCCCGCCAGCCAATTTCTACCAGGACAGAAAAAATGAGGTGAGTTGACAGAAAGAAGTGGGGGTAAAAGTGATTATGCTCCCTTTATGTTGGCCATGAAAAGTAGACAGGGTATGTGTACCCCAGGGAGAGCCTGCAGAGGAAAGGCCTAGAGCAGTCCAGATGGACGCCTGAATCTGGAGACCTCTGTGTTGTGTTCATTCAATCCTGGACAAGGTACACCAGCAACTTCAGTTTCTATAAAGAAACTGGTTTCTATAAAGGCTTGGCATCTGCCTCAGTGATCTCAAGGTAGTTTCACTTGCCCATAATTGTTTTTCCTCAACAGATTCTACCACCTTCCCTTTACCATTCCTCCCCCATATTCCACTGTTAAACAGAACCAAAGGATGTGCAGGTGTAACGAAACCAGTTTAATTTCTACTTCACTATACTCAAAGTAGGAGCTCTGGTAGCATAGTGCCTAAGGCACTTGACTGCTAACCAGAAGGCTGGTGGTTCAAACACAGCCACTCCTTGGAAGGAAGGTTGGGCAATCTACTTCTGTAGTGATACTGCCTCAGCAACCCAAGGAGGGGTCGCTATGAGTCGGGGCCAACTCAACGGCACATAGTAAGAACATACTTAAAGTGTTCTTTTGCCCAGTACATCATCTTTTACAAAAACATTTTCAGGTCAAGCCTCACTGGTTACCCATACTTAGTATTTATAACATCTGCTAAAGGTCTAGGAAAGGAACTCTGCCTAAAGTATTTGACTGCTAACCAGAAGGTCAGCGGTTCAAACCCATCAGCCACCCTGTGGAAAGACAATGGGGCAATCTACCTCCATAAAGATTTACCACCTCGGAAATGCAATGGGGGTTGCTATGAGTTGGAATCGACTTGATAGCAGTGTGTTTGGTTTTTTTTTGTTTATTTTGTTTGTTTTTGAGCAAAGGTCTAGGAAAGGAGCCCTAGTAGCACAGTGGTTCAGTGCTCAGCTACTAACCAAAAGGTTGGCAGTTTGAATCCACTAGCCACTCTGTGGGAGAAAGATAAGACAACCTGTTCCTATAAAGATTTACAGCCTTGGAAACCCTATGGGCGCAGTTCTACTCTGTCCTATAGTGTTGCTATAAGTTAGAATTGACTCGATGACAGTGGGTTTGGTTTGGTTTGGTAGATGCTAGGAAAGGATAAGAGCATATAGTTCTCTATATGCTAAGTAACAAGCGCTGTCCTGCTACAAAAGCTAACTAAGAACTCTCAAATGTAGTAGGCACAGGACAGGAGAAATAAGAGTCATAGCCTGTGAAGGAAACTATGAGGTCTCCAAAACTAAGCTGGTCCAAACTCAGAGTCAAGTCTAGGTGCTAGAAGATTTTGACAAGATGAAGGAGCATCATGAAATTTTCTGACCACGGTGTAAGTAAAAATATTAGAATTCAAATAAATATGCCAAAAGGAAAAAGAGAAAAATTACTAAGTAAGATATGCCTATACTAGGTGAATTTTATGGTTTATAAATTGTATCTCAATGGAGATGTATCTCAATATATCTCAATATGATGTACCAAATAATATCTGGAGGATTTATTTCAGATTTCCTCTAAAAGCCTCACTTTCCTTGCTGGATTGGCAACTATTACACAAGCACACACAAGTGCATCCACGTATCTATGAGTGTATAAATACATATAATGTGAAAAGCACATGAATGTGCTTTATCAAACAACCAACTCTAAGTCTTCTATTATGCCTATTGGTTAGACTTCACTGGCCATATCACCTTCTAATGATGAGGTGGGAGCTCTGGAGTCATAGTGCCTAAGGCATTTGACTGCCAACTATTCCTCAGAAGGAAGATTGGGTAATCTACTTCCATAGAGATACCACCTCGGAAACCCAAGGAGGGATGCTATGAGTTGGATATGACTCTTTGGCAGTGAGTTTGGTTTTTGGTAATGACAAGGTAACTAAATTGCAGGTTTACAGCTTTAATAATAAAGCTCCTGGGAGTTGAAGAATAAAGCTAAAGTGATTAAAAAATAATAATAATAAAAAAAAAACCCTACTGCCGTGAGTCAATTCTGATTCACAGCAACCCTATAGGACAGAGTAGAACTGCCCCATAGGGTTTCCAAACCCGTAAATCTTTATGCATGCAGACTGCCATATCTTTCTTCCACGGAGCGGTTGGTGGGTTTGAACCACCAACCTTTTGGTTAGCAGCTGAGCAGTTTAATTACTGTACCACCAGGTCTCTTTGCCTAAAGTGACAGCAATGACTAAAAAAGGTAAAAGATTCTTTGGATTTCTAGACAGAAAAGCAAAATACACTGTACTTTGATTTTCTTGATCTTCAGGAGGTTCTAGAACTTTCACAAATTCCACATTCACATGAATTTCAACTCCCAGCATCAAGGCCACCTTGAATAAGATGAGCTGAAGCTGACGAATACCTGTCAGGGAGGAAGAGAGATGAACTGTCAGCACCAATGCCCAGGTGCCTCCCGTATGCAGAGTATTATATAATCACATCTCCACGATCTCGGACCATAACAGTGTATCAACAGTAATTGTTACTGAGCACTAATTACATGCTGAGTACTCTGTCAAAATATTTTATGTCAGTTTTCTCATTTAACCCTTAACAGTTGCTCTTTGAGATAATTACTATTCTTGTTTTATGGATAACCAATTGAAGCTCAATGAGGTGAAGTGATTTGCTCAAGGTCATGGAGTAATAGAACTAGAATGTAGATTCAGGTCTGTCTGATTTCAAGACCATGCTGTAGCTATTAATTAATGCTGAAATGAGGGAGCTTCTCTCTTTCCTGCCTCCTTTCTGAGCTGGGTCTGAAATTAAGACAGCAAGAGGAATAGGAAAAAAAAGAGAGCAGAGGGCCATATGTAAAGGCAGTGATCAAATGGCTCTTTATGTGGGGGACTATTCTTAAGCTCTTTGCCATCCTGTGGTAAGGGGAGGGGGTAAGAAATTCTCCCCATAAAGCTGGGCTCATGGTTCTGTGCCTCCTACCCACTTCTCCTAAACTTCTGCAATCAGTGGTACTTTGTTTCCTGTTTTGTTCCCTGCCATTCAGCACAGATGGGTATGCATCTCAACTATTTTTCTACCAAGTGAGAAGCTGTAAACTCTCTGTGATTTCTTCAGTGTCTAGTTTATTCAGCTCATTTAACATTTAGTAAGCACCTACAATGTGCCAGGTACCTTGTTGTGATTGTTTTTGTTGTTACGTGCCATCGAGTCAGACCCGACTCACTAGGCACAGGAAATATGGCACACACCTGGTGGAAGAAACACAGGTAAACAATATGGGGCATGGCATGGTGATTGAGGGACAGGGAAGTGGTAGAACCAGCCTGAACTAGAGTCTGTAAGCCAAGTGAGAAGTGACCACGAACATAAAATCCCATGGCAAGACTTAAGAAATACACAGACTTCAAGAGGACAGTAGACTTGAGAGATCTCAGTGAAAATCCCTTAGCGTGGTGTTGGGGGACAAATAAGACTGCAATGGAAGGAAGCATGAATGGGTAGTGCAGACAACATCTAGACCTCCTCTTTCTAGAAGAATTGCTTTGCAGTAAAGATAATGGGACAGTAACAGAGTGCTGGAGAGACAGTGTAAGGTGATCATCAGGAAGATTAACCAATGGGAGCAAGAGAAAAGGAGGGGATGGAAGCAAGAGTGATTCCTGTCAGAACAGATAGAGTCACTCACCCTCAGGGATGAGAAGAATGGGTACTGGGGTGGAGGCAACTGGAGGAGGGAGAAGAGTGATAGAAGAAGGAGCTCCCGTTCATGACTTCTCTTCCTCGAGGCAGAGGAAGGAAGTCATCTGCTAAGGATGAGGAGGCTGGGGTGGAGGTTTGGAACAGCTATCATGGGAACTGTAGGAGGATGCTAACACAGGACCAGTGGAGCATAGCTGGGGTTGGAGACCAGAGTCTGAAAGGAAGCCAGTCAGCTGGGGCTTAAAGCACCCAATTCAGCCCTGCTTCAGAAATAGTCCTTCAAGGGGGACCTCTCCTCAGAGATTCAAAGTTCCTAGTCTATGTCATCCCAGAACACATTAGAAAGCCAATACATTCTCTATGCTTCCTTTCTCACAGGCACTGAGCAGCCCTTGACAAATGATCATTCTGAATGCTTCAATTCTAACTCCAAAGTCCTACCAGTGCTTCTGCACACTGGGATTTTCCAAAAGTTTGGTTTTTTTTTGGTTTGGGGGTTTAATTAAGGGGGGCAAAGAGACGGTCCTGGCCAGGGAGCCAGCCCAACGTCCCTGTGACCCTCACAAGGTCTCCTGGTCCCCGGCTCTGCCTCCTCTGGAGGACTTTATGAGAAAGTAGTGTGAAGAGTCATCATCCTAAATCAGTAACCGACATATATTCTTTCGTGGGTGGTAGAGAATAACCTGAAAGCTGACACTGCAGCTTTCTGGGCAAATCCAAATTTCTTTCCACTGAACTTTTGGAATTTTCTCATCCCAAAGTGGGAGTAAATTCAGGCCACCGCTGGTAAATTTTCTTGCATATGACTAAATTACACCCTATTTGGCCAATAACTCTCTGCGGCACTCCTCTGTTCTAAACCTCCCTAGTCCCATCTATTCTTGTCCTCATCAGAACAAGGTTCTCACCCCAACAGAACAACACTGGGTGGAAGAATGCAGCCCCAAATTCTTAAGTCAGGATACCACAGAGGCTTCTTGCTCACTGGATGCTATTGGCTGAGAAGCATGTACTATGCAAGCACCTACCATGGGCCAGGCATAGTCCTAAGCACGCTACAAACATGACCTCTTTAAATCCTCTCAGCAATCCTCAGAAGCAGGCATTAACCCCGTTTCACAGGAGGTAAAACTAAGGCTTGAAGAAGGTAAGAAATCTGATTTCAAGCCACAGAGAAAGTAGAAGAAACAGATTTTGAACCCAAATCTGTTCAAACCATTGAACTTTCTCCACAGTATTAACCTCCTTGACTTTCATGGGTCACTATATAGCTATAAATAAAATGGCTAAAAACTTCCTCCCAGCAAACTCCCACAAGGAATGCTGCCTCTCCCGAAGCCTAGCTGCATAGATCTCTCTCTGAGGGACTCAGACTCCAGGAATCTAATAGCAGCCCAGCCAGAGTGCTACTCGCCCTATCTAAGCATTCAGGGAAGGTCCAGGACCTGACATCTATGTCCTTTATTTCCCCTCTTCCAGCTCAAGTCCCAACACGATGCCCTCTCTCTTAAAGCCCAAGGAAATTCTGGAACAGGATCTGTCAGAGAACATGAATCCGATTCTGTCACTCCTCTGTTCTAAAACCTGCCATAGCCAGCACTGAGGATGAGAAAGACATAGAGAGTTACATGGGCAGTACAGACAACAAATATGAACCCCTTTGCATATACAGTACTGAGTTGTCAGTGAAAGCAAACATGGGTATAGGGACTGATAGATGGGTAAACAAGCTAAACAATTAGGTATGTCTAAATGGAGAGTGTATCCAAGATCATATATAGGGTTGGCAGACAATGGGCCTATAAGTTCATGTGAATGATCAGAATTCCCAGGTGTATAGTAGAGCTGACAAGGGGCAAGGTATGGTCATTACTTGGTCACAGCCAGCTACCCAGAGGGACCGAGTAGTTGATCCTGATGGCTTGGGACCATAGTCGCAGGGGACATCAAGCTCAATTGGCATAACACACTATACAAAACATTGTTCCACCTACTACTTTGGCGAGTAGCGACTGGGACCTTAAAAGCTAGGAAGCTGCCATCTAGATGCAACAACGGGTCTCTCCTCGTCAAGAAAAAAGAAGAAAACCAAAATTAATGGAAACAGTCAGTCCTAGCGACTGGTACACCATCCGATCTGCAACCTATACAACTATGAGACCAGAAGAACTAGATGGTGCCCAGCTACCACAGCCATCCACTTGGAAGGGATGTAGGAGATCCTGCATAAAGAGGGAGAACAATGTGGTACAAAACTCAAAATCGTTTGGAGGCAAAAAAAAAAAAAAAGAAGGTGGGGACCAGGTTTGCTGGTCCAATGGAGCCTGGTGTAACCACTGAGACTATGGCCCCTAGCTGCCCTTCAGGTCTGGAATTGAACCCACAACTGTGGTTTCCAGCCAAACAAAGTACAGGCATGTGAGTTAAACATTTACCTCAAGTAGACACATGCCCTGGAGAGAACAATCATGGGAGAAGGAAGGGCTGCTTATGCAAGGGAGATAGCTCAGGGTGCAGAAGAGTATGAAGGGATGGACACTGGGAGGAGGTAACTATGGGGAGGAAGTGGGAGGGGAGCTGCTGCATTGTAAATTTTGGTCAATGACATGAGACAAAGTATATGTGAACTGCTGTATGAAAAATGAATTTACTCTGTAAATCTTCACCCAAATCCTAAAAAAAAAAAAAAAAAAAACCTGCCATAGCTCCCCAGTACTAGCAGCGGCAGCACACTGTCCAAACTCCTTTGCACAAGAGGCCCTTGACAACCTGGTTCATTTACTTGTTCTATGTGGCTCCCTCCTCTGAACTCCTCTACAAGTTTAACTAACTCTGTTAAAGCACACTTTATTACTGAGAAAACCTCAGTGGCTCCCTGAGGATACAGACAGTATGTCTTATCTCTAGCTCTGTTTTTATTAGGTCATTCACTTAACAAACGTTTATTGAGTACCGACCATGTGCCAAGCATTCTTTTATGTCTTGGAGATATACTGGTGAACAAAATGTGCCACAGTCCTGACCTCCTAGTGCTTACAACCTCGTGGGGCGTACACAACATAGGGCCTGGCACAAAGCACAAACAGGGTTCTCAAATGGTCTGCTAGTTGGTTATGTGGTGTCTGCAGTTGGTTATGTGGAGTATCCTACTTGTAGGGTAGAGAGATCTGCCCCACTCAGGGTCAGCCCCTTCCTTCATGGGGTGCCACCCCTGGCCCCACTCACTAATGTGGTCAATGGAGCCGGCACAGAACTTCCCATAGAACTTCTTGGCTCCGAGGCCCCGCAGATCATGAATGGTGAATGGCCAGAGGTGCAGCACGTTATTCCGGGAGAAGGTGTCCCTCTTCTCCACCACGACCACTTTGGCCCCTAGGTAGGCAAGTTCAATGGCAGTGCGCAAGCCACATGGTCCTCCCCCAACGATGAGACACTGCAAAGGCGAGAGAGAGAGAGACTCAGTGACTTCAAGCTGTGTGGATATGAACCCCTAGTCAGCAGTATAATGAGGAATAAACCCCAATGCACTCAAATCAACTAGCAAGTACAAACTCAGTACCTATTGTTGTTGTTAAGTGCCGTCGAGTCGTTTCCAACTCATAGCGACCCCATGCACAGCAGAACGAAACACTGCCCCATCCCACGCCAGCCCCACAATCCCTGCTATACTTGAGCCCATCATCGCAGCCACCGTGTCAATCCATCTCGTTGAAGGCCTCCCCCTCTTTCGTCAACCCTCCACCCTACCAAGCATGACATCCTTCTCCAAGGAAGTACCTATTAGGGCCTGTCATTAAACCATCCAGTGTACAATACCTGTGGGCCTACTACGTACCAGCCACTGTGTGGGCACTGTGAGGACACAGAGATAAAGAAACTTGGGGAGGAAACACAGTAAAATGTGCAGGAGATTCAGAATCAGACTGAATTGAATTAAATCCAAGCTGGTGGCATAGTGCCTAAGGCATCTGACTGCTAACCAGAAGGCTCGCAGTTCAAACCTACCAGCCACTCTGCAGAAAGAAGACTGGACAATCTACTTCCGTAGTCATACTGCCTTGGAAACTCAAGGAGGGGTCATTATGAGTTGGATCCGACTCAATGGCAGTGAGTTTGGTTTGGTTTTTATAGCATTTAAAATGTTAGATTCCTTATCTGTAGGAATACTACTGTTTCTTCATAGGGTTATTGTAAATGAGATCACTTTGAAAAACATATAGTACATTTTTGTGACACTGGATTTGGCAGTGGTTTCTTAGCTATGACACCAAAAGCACAAGCAACAAAAAGAAAATGGGTAGCTTGAACTTCATTAAAATAAAGTTTTAAAATTACGCTTCAAAGGACACTATCAAGAAAGTAAAAAGGCAGGACACAGAATGGGAAAAAATACCTACAAATCATATAGTTGATCATATAGTATCTAAAATACATAAAGAACTCCTACATATCTACAACAAAAAGACAAACAATCCAATTTAAAAATGGACAAATGACTTGAATAGGCATTCCTCCAAAGAAGATATTCAAATGGCCAATAAGCACAAGGAAAGGTGTTCAACATCATTAGTCATTGTTGTTGTTGTTGTTTGCCGTCGAGTCAGCCCCAACTCATAGCGACCCCTCCTTGAGTTTCCGAGGCAGTATCACTACGGAAGTAGGATTGTCCAACCTTCCTTCCGAGAAGTGGCTGGTGGGTTTGAACCGCCAGCCTTCTGGTGAGCAGTCAAGTGCCTTAGGCACTATGCTACCAGAGCTCCCCATTAGTCATTAGGGAAATGCAAATCAAAACCACATGACATACCACTAGGATGTCTATTACCAGAAAAAGTGGAAAATAACAAATGTTAGTGAGGATGTGGAGAAGTGAAAACCCTTGTGCATCGTAGGTGGGAATGTAAAATGGCGTATCTGCTGTGGAAAAGGTTGGCAGTTCCTCAGAAAGCTACATATACAATTACCAAATGAGGTAGCAATCCCACTCTTAGATCTATACTCAAAATGATGGAAAGCAGGGACTAACACAGATAACTGCACACCAGTGTTTATTACAGCATTGCTCACAATAACCAAGAGGTGGAAACAACCCAAATGTCCATCAATTGATGAACAAATAAATGTGATGTGGTATCGAAGCCACTGTGGGCAGATGTGACAAAACAGGACTCTGTACAAAAGCCCATGCTAGGCCTTCAATGAGCACCGTGAAGTGGAGCATGACAATGACCTTCCTCAAGGAAGTGACACAGGCTGTTAGGAGAAAAGCGAAGAGACATCATGATCCAGCTAGTTAGCAAAAGCCCTTTTATTAGAGCAAAACCTTATGGGGGGCATCAATACTGTACAAAAACAGAAAAAAATGGTAGTACTCTGGCTCAGAGAGGCAGAACCACCCACACACAACACTCTGCCCACTTCCAGGCTTTCCATGAAGCACCTCCTTGAAGTAAGAGTTCACTTGTGGGTCTAAACTAAGGATACCCCAGTAAGGCAATAGGGAAGAAGATGTGCACCCATGTCTCACTCCTTGATATTGAAACAGCATCTGGAAACTTCCCCTCTGCTCAATCAAGCCTTATCTTAAACAAATACATTCCCCTTCCCCTAGCAAATATTCCATCATCCACTTATCACTCATCTGGGACCTCCAGGCTCCTGAAGGGAAAGTGCAAACAAGCATATCAGAAGCTCCCTTTCCACAACCAGTGTGGTTTACTGGTTGGAATCTTCCAGAGAGTTTGTGGATACCAATTAGGGGAAATGAAGTCACTGCCAAGATACAACTCACTCCAGAGACTTCAGGGAGCGGGTACACAAATCCACTTACTTCCTTTCTGGCTGCAGATAGACTGGAGAGGACCAACTCCCCCGGGCCCAGCTCCACTCATTACCTCACACCCACCTCAAGCAGCTCCTCCAATTCTGGCATAGCCAGACAATGATGGTCATTTCAGAGCAAAACTTAAAATCCTGACACTTGTGAGGTTTGCTCTGGGGTTAAGTCTGGATTCACTGCATTTCTTTGCAGTTAGTGCATCTTTTCCTGTTTGCTGAGGTCTGTCACTCCAGGGCCAGGGATAGAGGAGGAGTAGGAGGGTGTGGGGTAGAGAAGGGCAGGCAGGAGAGAGCATAAAGGGAAGGACAGGGCCCTCCTGTACCCTTCCATCCACCCAGGCTTGACCCAGTACCGCTCTGAGGAGAAGGTAGGAAAGCATTTCCCACAAACCAGTGGGCTGTGTGCACTTTTATGCAAACAGTAGCTGGTGTACTATTTCTGACCCACCAGACTAAACCTGAAATCCCATCAGCAAAATCTCAGTTTTCCCACCATTGTGGGCCCCCCCCCACACACACACTTGGGCCCTGAAATTTCAGAGACGCCAGTCATGCCATAATCTAAAGTCAAAGAAAATACCAAAGGGTCTAATTATATAAAGGGAGAAAATTTGGTGCAGATGTTATCAAGGCTGCAGAGAGGTCTTGTTGGCAGGGGCCAGGCCAGTTCCTTTCTGAACATGGTTGTTATGATTAACATGGGAACTCGGCATTCTGACAAGAGGCTGAATACTACAGCTGCTACACGCCTGGACAGAGGAGCAGAAGACAAGAGGACTTCCCTAGTGTGCCCACAGCTGATGCTCTGAATGTTGGCAAGCCCAAACAGATCATGGATGCAAAGAACTGTTATAATTCAACACAAAGGAGTCGTCTATCTTCCCCAAACCTATCCCAGTTATTGCTGCTGAGCCCCTACTTACAAGGTAGGAAAACTTTCAATTAGGACCCAGCTCTAAGGCCTTCCTTGAGCCCTGAAGTCAGAGTCTACACTCTTCTCCTATGCTCTCCCAGAACTAACATCTGCACATTTTAATTCTGTCTGACTCCCAGCTAGTCTGATGCTTCTCAAAAGGTGCCCCATGTCATCTGCATTTCTGTACATACCGAATCCAACACAGGGGCTGGCACATAGGCGGCCTCAATAAATACTTGATGGATGAATGAACTTTCCACACCCTTTCCACCCACCCAATTCTGGCTCCCCATCCATAACCAGGATGTTCCGTTCCTGTCAGCCAGGGTTAATGTCTGCAGATTCCCACCCAGACTGGGGGAGCTGGGGTCTGCCAAGGCCACCAGCATCATGGACGTCAGCATATCTGTGTGCTCAGGCGACATAAATTCATTACCCAGCAGGGAATGGGGCAGATCCAACTCCAGCAGGAAATCCATTGTATAGATAAGCCCAGCAGTGTTTAGACCTCCACATTAGTGGAGAAGAGAGACAAACACCACATGGAAAAATTGGCTCTTTATAAGGAGTTGGAAGTAGGGAGATGATGGCCGATTTACCTACATACAGGGTGCAAGCTTGGGGGCGGCCCCCATCCACACAGGACTCCTATTTCACCCATGGAGGCCTCACATTCACTCCCCACTTCTGGATGACAGTGCATCTCCAACCAGCCCTTTTTTTCAGCCCACCAGTGAGTGGGTGTGCTGGGGCTGTGCCAAGAATGCTAAGGGGATTTAACCCCCAGAGGAAGACGCAAAGGGGACCAGAGGCTAAGCCAGGGGTTAGAAGTCTGGAGGCTTGATTTCCGTGTCTGAATTCTGCCTCTGATTGCCTTGAAAGCTCTGCATGTGGTTACTACAGTGAGGGGAAAGGAGGTTTGCCAGACTAACCTGACTACCCTGGGCTGATTTGAAAATGATGGATACGATAGCTAAAATGCAGTGTGCACTTTCCATGTGCCTGGCACTGTTCTCATCACTTCGTGTAAGTCACCCTTGCAACTACCCTATGAAGTTGGTGCTATTATCATCCTCATTCTATAAGGATAGAAAAAAGCACAGAAGAAACATCAAAAAGTCAAGTAACTTTATTATCCCCTATTTTTAGTTGAAGATCCTAAGGGGAAAGAGGATGGGAAAATCCTCCAAGTTCACATAACCAGTGAGTGGTCAGCTCTGGATTCAAACCTATTACAGATTGAATTGTGTTCCCCTCCAAAAATATATCTTAACCTCCTGTACCTGTGAACATGCTCTTGTTTGGAAACAGGGTCTCTGAAGAGGTTGTCAGTTAACATGGTGTCATACAAGAGTAGGATGGGTTCTAATCCAATTTGAGTGTTGCCCCATAAAAGAGGAGAAGAGACACAGAGCAACAGAGAAAGGAAACCTGACAATGGCCTTATATTGCAGCTGCAAGCCAAGGGATGCCTGAGGCTACCACAAGCCGGGAGAGGACAGAAAGGATCTTCCCCTGGAGCCTTCAGAGAGAACATGGCCCTGCCAACACTCCGGATTTGGACTACTAGCCTCTAGAACTATAAGATAATAAATTTCTGTTCTTATAAGCCACCCAATTTGTTATGGCAGTCCTAGAAAGTAATATAAAACCTATCAGCATGGACCATGATCTATGCTCTT